CAGTGGCGGCCTTAGGGGGTGGCGAGCAGGGCAATCGCCCGGGGCCTCGCTCTTGGAGGGGCCTCGCGCAACAACCAAGTAGAAAAAAGTTGATATTTAAAACTTTTTATTTTATCCTTGGCTATTAGTTATAACAATAAAATAAATTTAATTTATAGTACAGTATATATTAATATTAATAAGTGCCTACTATTTCAATTCACATACTTTGCACAAAGGACAAGGGCCTCGCAAAGATCTGCCGCCCAGGGCCTCGCAAAGATCTGCCGCCCAGAGCCTCGCAATGGATAAGGCCGCCGCTGTGGATAGGCATTGTTTTGCAGAAAGAGTATCTCATGATTTATCTTTCTTTGTGTTGGTCTCTTGGTCTTTCAGCCTTAGAGCAAACTCTTTATCAAGTTAACACTATCTTTGTCCCAGAATGTAAAAGCCATTATTTTTCTGGCCAATTTTTGAATGCCAAACTTTGACCTGAAAGACCTGCTGTGGAGCAATTACTCAGTTATTCAGCTGTGTAACCATCAATACATATTGGTGTTTACACAGCTGAGCAATTATTTACAATACAAAAATTTGTCAGAATTTGATACCAGTTGGTTGTATGCCCAACAATGATCTATGACTACATATGTGGAACCATGAAGTTTCCATACGTAAGATGATGGAGATAGCAACATTTCTATAATATAAGGAGAGAGAGCACATACAATAATTTAGTTTCACAGTCAATAAATTTTACATACCTGAAGACAGAGAGAGAAAGAATACTAGTCAAGACAAAAGATGAAGCAAATTAAGGGCAATTGATAATGCTCAGCACTAAAAATTGACAAAAACTCTCTTACTCTGGATGTCTGTCTCTTCATTTTGTTTGATTTTTACTTATTTGAATATTTAGGGCAGAGGTCTGAAATAAATATTTGTCAATCAGCGTAATAAAATTTGCATTGATTGGTTAAAACCAGAAAAAAGGTCTAATAAAGATAAATAAAAGTTCAGATATTCAAATTTTATAGCAATAAAGAGTTTTAGTTTTGCATTCCTTCTCCTCTTACAATTATTTTAAAAGAATAAAGTTTGCCAATTCTGTGGAAACTCTCTTATTTTGTAGCATATTATTCACAAAGAAGTTTTTATATGACATTTTAATTTTTACATTTTTCATGTTAAAATATTTAAAACAGGTCTTTAAATAAACATAATAGTTGTTTCAACAAATTATATTTATTATATAAATTGTGAATAATTTTTTACTAATTATAAGATTTTTTTCAGTTTTTTATTTAAAAAGTTATAGTTTAAGTTTTTAATTATAAAGAAATATCTTTACTCAAAGGAAAATTATTTATTAAAATTATACATTACACTAAAAATTAATGAAATTGGATTTCATTAATAAAAATTTAATACATTACAATCTTGAATATATTATGCATTCAAGAATGTGATATTTTTTAGATAAATTTATTTCTGAAAAACCAATCTGATGAATCTAAAGCAAAAAGTATGAGTGTAGAAGAAGTAGCCATGGGATTTATTAATGTTGCAAATGAAGCTATGTGTCGCCCAATAAGAGCTCTTACTCAGGGAAAAGGTTATGATACTTCCCAACATATTTTAGCATGTTTTGGAGGTGCAGGAGGTCAACATGCCTGTGCAATTGCTCGCTCTTTGGGTATGTCAACAGTATTTATTCACAGGTAAATTAAATACAATTTTACATTTCTCTTTTTTTCAACTTCTTAGATTTATACATTCTTTTATGTAAAGATTTTTTAATGCATCTAATCTACCAATAAGCTAGAATAATAGTGCTGAATCATAATAGTGCTTTTTATAAATGAATCAGAATAGCCTTAAATAATAAAATCTTTACACTTTATTAACATATAAAACTTTAAAATTGCAATCTTTAAATTTTGATTTTATCTTGATGTTAATAGTAAAATATATTGATAATTCATAAGGACATTTATTAAAAAAATACTCTTGAAAACTATTAAAAGTGGAAGTTATTTCTTTATTATTATTATCATTGTTTTGTAACACAACAAATCACTATAGTTTAAAACAGGATGGGGTAAAAACACTATTCACAGTGAAATAAATATTTATTTGTAAATATTTTCATCACACTTAAGGGGTCATTTTCAGGCTTACAGAATTAAAACAAAACAATATTATGTAATGAGTTTGGTAAAATAGAAATTAGTTAACAATTAAACATCTTCAAAATAATAAAACTTGAAAATATAAATCTTATGAACATTAAAATACAATAGTATTAAATAGTGTTACATTAAATAGTAAAAATGAATTAAAATCAAAATAAAATAATGGAAAACGGTTATGCTGATAATTAACAATTTCAAACAGTACCCAGCAAATCACCAAACAGATAAATAATACCTTATCCTTCCGAGAAATATATTTATTTCAAAAAAACAAACGTTTTTAGCCTGATTTACAGGCCATCCTCAAGTTGAGAACGAAAATTGGAACTAAAGCATTCTATTAATAGAATACAAAATTCAAAATTAAAAATTTAAATAAGCAACGGAATAACAGAAATAATAAAATTATAAATTAAATATCCACGGAATAAAATGAAAATAAAATAAAAAGTAAAATAAAAATAAAAATTAACAATATACATGTAAGGGTTTCTTGTCACTTTTAAGACATGAATTCATGAAAGAATGTGCAAAGATTTTGATTTTTTTCCCAGATTTGCAGTTTTTATTTATTAAAACCATCTCCTCTTTAAATTTCTTTATACTTCTAAACATCCTATCCATATTTACTGTATATCACCTACTATTACTTTTATTGTTTTATCCTATTTTATACTCTCCCTTGTTCATAACACATTTATTATTAAATCATAATTCTCTAAATCTGTTTGTTAATGATTTATAGTAGTTATGAGTATTTTTTTTATTAGATATGCAGGAATACTTTCAGCTTATGGTATGGCTTTAGCAGATGTTGTTCATGAAGCTCAAGAACCTTGTGCCCTTGTTTACAATTCTGGTTGGTTTTAAATAAATAATTTATTAGATTACTTTATTTATTCTATGTATTGTAATTATAAATTTATATTTTTTAGATTCATATCAAATTATTTGCCAAAGAATTGACAGTCTGGTTAATCAATGTAAAAATGAATTGAAAAAACAAGGATTTGATGAGTAAGAATTTTATTTATAATTATAAATTTATGTCATTTTTATTCTTGTAAATATTAATAATAAAACTAGTATAACTGAATACAAAAATTCAGTTCATCATACAAATTTTTTATTGGAAAATCAAAAAATATAACAAAGAGCTTTCATAAGTATTAATAACATAAAAATATATAAAAGTTCTGGAACTAAAGAAATTTAAATTATTATTTATAAAATATATTTTAGATCTATGAAATGAGACTTTATAATTTGCATTATGTATAAGAGATTTTTTTTAATGTATATTTATTGTTACATCTAAGAGATCATTTAAAGTATATAGACTCATTAACTTTATTAACTGTTTTGATAGAACATTACACTGATAATACTTGGATATCATCGGTAATATCATCCATAAATTATTGATTATTTAGAAATATTTAAAACTACACAAATATATAAAAATTATTTCATTTATTTTTATTGTAGTATAGATAGCAACTAATTTTAATTTTTATATAATAAAAATTACTCAATATAAAGTATTATATAAATATATAAGCATATATTGTAAAAGTAATATAATTTAATAATATAAAAATATATTCAATAAATGTAAGTTATGTATATAAAATATAGTGTAGAATTTCAGATTACTTCTTCGAGATGCAATCTGAAAAATATTGATATTTTTCAGATTGCATCTCGAAGAAGTATACTGATATACATATTTTTTTAAATTATGTTGTATAATTAAACTAAAAATCTTTTGTTTATTTTTAGATCATCCATAATAACAGAACCATTTTTACATATGAGATATGAAAGAACAGACTGTGCTTTGATGTGTACATCTATTGATTATCAAAGTGATCATGATACATATAAATATGGAGATTTTAAAGCTGCTTTTATTGGAAAGTATGCCATTACTTATAATTTTAACATAAGATTTTCTAATATAGGATAAAAAAATAATTAAATTTTTTAATCTTAGTTTTTAATAATTTTAAATACCATTATTGTTGTTTAAATAATAATTGAATATATGTAAATGAATAAGAATATTTTTATGAACCAGTTTTTTATTTCAAGATGTGTTATATTTCTATTTATAATTTAATAATATATAAATATTTTCAATACATGTAAGTTATATATATAAAATATAGTGTAGAGTTTATGTATTTTGATTTCTTGAAAGTTAAAGTTTACTATACAAATAATTGCAACAAATAGTTAAAATATTTAATTTCACTTTTATTTTGACATGAATATAATTTATTATTGAAGACAATATGAGTTATCTAATACCAGTTTACATGACGGAAGTTTTTAAATAACTTTAATTTCTATAATTAATTTTTTCTTTAATAATAACAAACTAATTATCTAGTCAAACCACTCAGTTTCAATTGAAAATCTTGAGATATATTAAATTGAAATATCGAAAAATTTAATAAACTATAGAGATTATAAAGAGAAGTAGTATTACAATCATTTTCAGATATTTACTATATACTTCAGATCTAACATAAAACAAAAATTTTGGATCTAATGTAGAACAAAAAGCTTTTTCAATTTCATTTTTTGTGCTTGTATGGTAGTTTTCCCGTTATAAGCAAAGGATTTTTTATCCTTACTTTTAATTCTCTTTGCTTGTGATAATATCCAAATCTAAGCTTACATCCTTCTTTTGTTTATTTATAAGGTTCTTATATGTTGAAGTTAGCTGTTCTGTTGTTCTTATCAGGAAGTTACCTCAGCGTGATATAATAATAATCAGTTGGTCCCAGTTAATATGTATGTTTTTATCAAGCGTTTTCTCTGCTAATGCTGTTGTATAGTTTCCTTTTATACATTTCAAAAACATGCAGGATGCCATGCATACATGCTTTAGGTATAGGAAAAGACAGGGTTCTGTAATGAGGCTACCACCTGTCTCTATATTGTAGACAATCATCTTTTCTAGTGGTTTGTCTGGGGTGTTCGGAAACTGCTTGCTGTGTACATGTGTCCTGACATATCCACTGCTTCTAATACATGCTCAGGCCACAACAATCTAGATGGTGGGCAATTTGGGAAATGGTTGATTTTTCCTCAGCTAGATTATATGACCGTTCTCAAATTCTGTCAACTGTGTGAAATATGTTTGACTATATAAAATACATTTTACAGGGGCTTGGTGTTTGAAGACTGCTAAACAACAAATACACTGAAAATTCTGAACACAGCCTTTTTACAGGCTACTTGGTTAGTGATTTTAAGGCACATAGACACCCACGATTGCTGTAAATAATTGGGCTATAATTTGGAAATAATAATTATGGCAAGATTGGACTGATTCTTTTCTTCCAGTTTATTCTAAATTAATTAATTAAATATTATAATTATTATCAATAAATTTAATATGATATGGTGCCTAATGCCTCCCTCTAGTCCCAAATTTATTTGTAATTCATAATTAATATTTCCAAATTATAGCCCAATTATTTACAGCAATCATGGGTGTCTATTTGCTAAGCATCGGGTTTCAGTAGATGTTTATATCTGATTTTAAGGCACTCTGATGGCATTACCTGACATGCAATTGGATCACAATTGTAATTACAGTCAACCCCCTATAAGATATAGATACGTTCCAATTTATTAGGAATCTGATTTTTTACAAGTCGTTCCAATCACAGCCCGACACGTGTCAAGTTTACGGACTACGGCTGATTGAAAGGTTTTCTTCCATAAAATTAATCGATTCTACACTAATCCGACTCAACATTTCCAAAATACGTATATTTTTTCGTAGTTTTATAGGAATCGTAATTATAGGGGGGTCGACTGTATTTACATACCTGCCTGCTAAGTTTTGTAGTATTACAGAATTTTCTATCTGGAAGTGTAACTTTTTTCAATGAGTATAATTATTAAAAATTTGATTGAAATAATTACTTTTCATATTTCTATATTTTTTCTTACAGTTACAAGAGAGAATTTGGTTTTATCATCCCTGATCGTCCAATTATTGTCGATGATATAAGAGTTCGTGGCATCGGTCAAACACACATTGATATAGCTAAAAGTATCCCACAGAGTACAGAACAAGCTAAGATAGAAATGGTAAATGATGATTAAAAATTAAAAATTTAATATTTTTTTAATATTATACTTACTAGATATTTTTATATTTTTAAAATGTAGATAACAAAATGCTATTTTGAAGATGGATATCATGATACTCCAGTTTATCTCCTCCAGAATCTTTTTTATGGTCATTGCCTTAAAGGTCCATGTATTATCATAGAAGCAAATTGGTAAATATAAGTATCATTAATTATAAAAACAGCATGAATAGTAAAAATTATTTATTTTTATTGTTTATTTCTGTAGATGTTTTTTAATTGACTAGTAAAGTTTGTAGTAGTATTTAACCCTATGCATGTCCCTATTTTTCTTTTGTTTATATTAGCACTATTTTAGTAGAACCAGACTGTGAAGCATATATTACTGAAAAGGGAGATGTAAAAATTAAGGTTAGTATTTATTGTGCACCATTTGTATTGAGTATATTATAATTTATATTTTTTTGCATGTTATCTTTAATTTGCAGAAATTACTATTCAATGATTAAATATTCTGTTTAATAAAATATTTGAAAAATATGAAATAAAGATGTCCTTATATTCTCTTTTGTTTCTTATGAGTGTGTTCGGAATCAAATGTATATAGATTTCACTGAATTTCAGCCATCTGCATGAGAGAAGGAATGACATGATTAGTACCATACAACAATTACTTCACATACTCATTGGAAAGAGAATGAGATTTCTAGAACTAAATAAAAATAGGGATTAAAAAAAATTCTTTTGAGATATTGTTTTGCATGACAGTCTGATATTTTACCTCCTAAACCAATCAGCTATAGTAAAAAATTTTTACCTTGTAGTTTAGTAACTAATAACTTTTTCTGAAAGTTCTTGCAAAAGGAATGCAATATTTTAATTAGAAATTAAGCAAATAAAATATAAATTATGAAAATGACATAGATACATTATATACAAAACATATTCAATATAAAATCAGTAAAGTACTATTAAAAGTTGAGAGGATGAGCAATAGTATAGTAATTTTGACACAAAACTTTCAGGTCAGAAGCAACAGTAACTGTGACTGACAACACTATTGATGTATCAGAAAATAAGGCAATGAACCCAATAAAACTATGGTGACTCTCCAGTAATGCATGCAGTTAAGAGCAGTGTAACGTTGTCTAATTTTTGACAAAAACCAATCGACATCTATCGGTACATGTAGGTACAGTAAGGAGATGACTATATGAGTTGCACATAGGTGTTCAAGTTCCAAAGAGTTATAAAAATTTCCAATAGTTCCAATAGAGTTCTAAGGTTCCAAAAATAGCCACAGTTCTGTAGAAGATTCTCTAAGGCTGGGATTACAGTGAATGCCATGGAGAATCTTCCTCATAATTATGACAGTTTTTAGAATCTTAGAACTCTACTTGTACATCTGTGTGCAACTCGTGTAGTTGTCTCCTTGCTGTCCATGCATATGTTAATGGATGTTGATTTGGTTTTTGTCAAAAATTGGACAAACTACACTGCTCTTGCTTCATGCACTGCTGAACAGGTGCCACCATTTCATCAGTATGTTGTCTTATGTTCTTGCTTATCAACAGTGTTGCCATTCACAGTTACAGTTGCTTCTGTCTTGAAAGTTTTTGTGTCAAAATTACTTCTCTATTGCTCATTTTTCTTGACTTTTAATGACACTTTTCTGGTCTTCTATTTATATATTATCTTTGAATTTTTAAAATAATTTATTAATATCTTTGAAGAGAAATTTTTCATTGTTATAAAATAATTTTTTTATAATAATAATTACAAGATAAAAAATATGTAATAGATTTATTAATATGATATGATATAAACATTTTAATTTATACATGAATTTGATTGATATTAAAGGCTTGCTTATGTTTTTCATATTTTAAATTTATTTAATAATTGGTATTTACATCAAAATATTTTTAAATAGTTGTTATGAGTCTTTTAATGCATTGTCTAGATCAAGTGTACTTTATTTTATTTTTGTTAAAAAGTTTCTAAATTTAAGAAGTAAATAACATTTAACACAAGAAAACATTAGAAAGTAAGAAAAAGTACAAACAAAACTACTTAAATATCTATTTAAATATAGAATTTAATAAATATCTGACAAGATACAATATATAAATTATCAATATTTTATATCAAGACAAAATAAGACTCTTTAGAACCTATAACCAATGTGAAGTATGGGTAAGCAATAAATTACAAATGTTTTCATAACCCCTTCTGGGTTCTTCCTCAGGTTTTCTTAATTCTAAATAAGCTGGATGTTCCAAAATCATTCTAGAATATAAAATTGAATCATAAGATGAGTTTGAATAAAGGGAATTTATGTGCATGAGTTTTCACATTATCTTTAAATATGGTTGAACACTAAATATCGCTGTCAAGTAAAGCTTGCCATGCCATGGATAGAGTCAAGTAAAGCTTGCCATGCCATGCCAATCTTATCTCTAAAATTAATGCACATGGACTTAGTAGGCCTTAAAAATCTTAACTGCCTTTAACCATTTGAGGTGTTCTGCATGTGGGGTAGTTAGGATGATTTGGGCTCCAGTAAAGTCTGCCATAATATCAGGGTTCGTCGCATAAGTAGAGAATGCAGTGGTACTCTTATTATGCTGTATATCAGATTTATGTTACGTATCCTGACTCCATTGAATGTTTAGTAGACCTAATGTACAGCATTTCACTATCCCATCTGTTGTCTCTTTCAGGGATGCTATAAATGCCTGCAATAAATATACAGCTTATTTAGAATTAAAAAAACCCGAGAAGGTGTTATGAAAACATTTGTGATTTATCGTTTACCTATACTTCACACTGGTTATTGATTCTAAAGTGTCTTATTTTATCATTATTATGGTGTGGTATGCAATTCATATCAAGACATTAATTAAGTTGTTTTATGTGATTTCAATAACATTACAATAACATAATTAATATTTTTAGTATTTAAACAAGCACATTTAAACAGTATTAATTATTCTGATATTAATGGATGAATGTACTAATAATCAGAAGTTAAAATATTGTAAACAGGTTTTCTGTAGATATTATGGTTTCTGTTTATTTCTGTAGATATTATGCAAACAAAAAATGTGTTTATAATACTTAATGTGCTGTGTAACTGGCTAAATACTAAGAAACTGAATCAAAATTAATTATGTATTTTTAATAAAGAAATATGGGCTAATTTTTATTATGAATGATTATTATTTAATATTTTTTTTATCTTATATATTATATATTATATAGAAATAATTTAGTTACATAAAGGTTTTTGTTTTTCAAGATTATGTCTAGTGTAAGAAGAAAAATTGGAACTGAACTTGACACAATTCAACTCTCTATCTTTTCTCATCGATTTATGAGCATTGCAGAACAAATGGGAAGGTAATATTGATTGTATTATTGATTTACAATTAAAATTACAGTAATTTTACATGAAAATATTTTTTAATTCAGAATTCAAATTTTTAACAATTTTTATAATAAAAATGTTTTTGAAATTTATGATTTAAAATTATTTTTATAAATATAACAAAAAGTCTGTTTTATTGGAGCTCATGGACTTGGTTGTCTGAAAGTGCTTGGGAAAGTTATTAGAGTGAGCTGCAATAAAGCAGGTTTTTTATTATATTTTAAAGATCTTGGAGTTGGTTTTTATTACTTAATTATATAAATATTTTTCATGATTCTTTGAGAAATAAATGATATTACAAATAACTGCATTATACAATTTCATATATTAATATATTTCCAAATTCATTTTAATTATTCAAATTTCAAATAAAGTGTATTTGGTAGAATGAAAAAGAATATTTTGTTGGGCCGCAATTTGAAAAAATTGTAGACCTATAAATTCCCACCATTGTCTGTCTGTCCTTCCTTAATCTCAAGAACAGTATTAGATAGATGAAAGTCAAGATCATATATAGAAAGCTTAGGGGCAGTAGGCCCCATTTAACTATACACAAACTTCTGCTTTGGGCCAAAAGTCACATTGGATCAAATCAAATTTTTTCTCCTGAATGGAGTTAGATAGATTGCTGGCATGACAAAGTTGTTAACAGGAAAAGTATGATGTACAGGAGCTAGATGCTACTAAACTTAAGTGTATTGTGATGAAAAATTGCAGTCTGACATTGTGACGATGTCATAATAAATAATTGCTTGTTTATAAATTATACTTCTACTGTCCCAAGGCAAAATGCTCTATCTCTATATCTAGCATGAAAAAATATTCTCTAATTCTNTCACACTGGTTATTGATTCTAAAGTGTCTTATTTTATCATTATTATGGTGTGGTATGCAATTCATATCAAGACATTAATTAAGTTGTTTTATGTGATTTCAATAACATTACAATAACATAATTAATATTTTTAGTATTTAAACAAGCACATTTAAACAGTATTAATTATTCTGATATTAATGGATGAATGTACTAATAATCAGAACTTAAAATATTGTAAACAGGTTTTCTGTAGATATTATGGTTTCTGTTTATTTCTGTAGATATTATGCAAACAAAAAATGTGTTTATAATACTTAATGTGCTGTGTAACTGGCTAAATACTAAGAAACTGAATCAAAATTAATTATGTATTTTTAATAAAGAAATATGGGCTAATTTTTATTATGAATGATTATTATTTAATATTTTTTTTATCTTATATATTATATATTATATAGAAATAATTTAGTTACATAAAGGTTTTTGTTTTTCAAGATTATGTCTAGTGTAAGAAGAAAAATTGGAACTGAACTTGACACAATTCAACTCTCTATCTTTTCTCATCGATTTATGAGCATTGCAGAACAAATGGGAAGGTAATATTGATTGTATTATTGATTTACAATTAAAATTACAGTAATTTTACATGAAAATATTTTTTAATTCAGAATTCAAATTTTTAACAATTTTTATAATAAAAATGTTTTTGAAATTTATGATTTAAAATTATTTTTATAAATATAACAAAAAGTCTGTTTTATTGGAGCTCATGGACTTGGTTGTCTGAAAGTGCTTGGGAAAGTTATTAGAGTGAGCTGCAATAAAGCAGGTTTTTTATTATATTTTAAAGATCTTGGAGTTGGTTTTTATTACTTAATTATATAAATATTTTTCATGATTCTTTGAGAAATAAATGATATTACAAATAACTGAATTATACAATTTCATATATTAATATATTTCCAAATTCATTTTAATTATTCAAATTTCAAATAAAGTGTATTTGGTAGAATGAAAAAGAATATTTTGTTGGGCTGCAATTTGAAAAAATTGTAGACCTATAAAGTCCCACCATTGTCTGTCTGTCCTTCCTTAATCTCAAGAATAGTATTAGATAGATGAAAGTCAAGATCATATATAGAAAGCTTAGGGCAGTAGGCCCCATTTAACTATACACAAACTTCTGTTTTGGGTCAAAAGTCACATTGTATCAAATCAAAATTTTTCTCCTGAATGGAGTTAGATAGATTGCTGGCATGACTTTGTTGTTAACAGGAAAAGTATGATGTACAGGAGCTAGATGCTACTAAACTTAAGTGTATTGTGATAAAAAATTGCAGTCTGGCATTGTGACGATGTCACAATAAATAATTGCTTGTTTATAAATTATACTTCTATTGTCCTAAGGCAAAATGCTCTATCTCTATATCTAGCATGAAAAAATATTCTCTAATTCTTACAGAACATTTGAATGGTATCAATAAAGGATAGTAATTAGATATAATGTCAAGTGTGCAATTTGATTTTCAAATTTTTTTGAGTTAGTGTCACTTGCCTTGGGTGGTAGACTTATATTCTTTTCTCTAGCACATGAAGACAATTAAAATTTTACTATGTTGACCTTTTATTTCTTACAAGCTGAAAATGCTAAAATATCCTCTAAAAGTTTTTATATTATTTTCACATTTTTTAAATATACATTTCTAATATTTGAAAATAATTATATTAAAATGATTACATCAGGATCATAGATAATCTGTTAAAACGAGATTCTATTATAGTTTTAAAAATATGTAGGCAGTTTTTTCCCAAGCTTCAATTGTCCATAAAAAAAAAGATAAGTGTAAATAACAAAATTAATTTATCGTATATTTGCGCAGATAAGACAATAGTTGAATCATAAAAAAAGACCCCCAAAATCCAGGGTCGTCTTATAGGACAGATACAAAAAAAATTAGATTGAAATTTATATAAATTAAAATCATTATAAAAAAATGGAAAATCGTAATTATTTACTAGTAGAGAGTAAGGTATATCCACAAAATAGAATAGCCCTCACGACATTTTTGTGAATAGTCAAGGTTATTACCCAAATGCCCAAATCAGTGGGAATGTCAACAATAGCAAGGCAGTGCTGCCAGATGCAAGAAAATAAAATTTGTTCATTCAAAAAATTACAAATAGGACATAATTCTGTATACACAATACAGTATTATTATCCAAATGATAATTGCTGATCTAAACTAAATTCATAGGCCATTGATAGTTTGGGGTTTATCTTATAGGACAGATATATGATAAAACTATAAAACTTTGATGAAAATTTATACCTCATCTTATCTGTGCAAATATATGGTATTACCAAAAGTTAGATACAAACATGGTTACTTTTCGACATAATCACCATGAAGATTGAGGTATTTGTCATATCTGTGAACGAGCTTTTCCATCCTCTTGTCATAGAATCTTGCCACCAATGACTTGAGATGGGCCCTAATGTTGTTTTGAAGATTGTCATTAGTCTCGAACCTCTGCCCTCCTAACCACTTTTTCTGTTCAGGAAAGAGGTGGAAGTGCTAAATTGAGGCTGTACACTGGATGTTTAAAGGTGGTGAAGACTTCCATCCAGCTTTTAACTTTTTAATGCATGAAGACTTTCACCTCTTTCCTGAACTGAAAATGTGGCTAGCAGGGCAGAGGTTTGAGACTAATGACGATCTCCAAAACAACGTTGTTATGGCCATCTCAATTCACTGGCAGCAACTTTTATGACAGGGGGATGGAAAAGCTCATCCACAGATATGACAAATGTCTCAATCTTCATGGTGATTATGTCAAAAAGTAACCATATTTTACCTAACTTTTGGTAATAAATTCATTTTGTTATTTACACTTGTGTTTGTTTTATGGACCATTGGCGCTTGAAAAAACCACCGTCATAATTCCATAAAGTCAATAATTATCAAAATGTAAAAACATAAATTAAATTTGTTAAACCTTCAATTCATATTGTAAGTTCTAAATCAGTGTTTCTCAACCTCTAACGAATCGTCACCCCCTTCAATAAAACCGTTACATAGTATCGCCCCCTTCACTACAAAATTCCAACACTGAGGGACAAGGCTAATGCCAAATTCGTACTGCATTGAATAGACTAGTGACTAGTATAATGTTATTTGTTTAATTATTGTACAATATAACATAAAATATCTAATTATTCTTAATATAATATTTTACTATATTGCCCAGAAAATTGTTTTTTGCCCCCAAAATATAAATTGTTACTAATTGCCCCCTCAAAGTGGAAAAATACCCACATGGGGACAATATCGTCCCCCGTTGAGAAACTGTTGTTCTANGTCACTTGCCTTGTGTGGTAGACTTATATTCTTTTCTCTAGCACATGAAGACAATTAAAATTTTACTATATTGACCTTTTATTTCTTACAAGCTGAAAATGCTAAAATATCCTCTAAAAATTTTTATATTATTTTCACATTTTTTAATATATATTTCTAATATTTGAAAATAATTATATTAAAATGATTACGTCAGGATCATAGATAATCTGTTAAAATGAGATTCTACTATAGTTTTAAAAATATGTAGGCTGTTTTTTTCCAAGCTCCAATTGTCCATAAAAAAAAAAATAAGTGTAAATAACAAAATTAATTTACTGTATATTTGCACAGATAAGACAATAGTTGAATCATAAAAAAAGACCCCCAAAATCCAGGGTCGTCTTATAGGACAGATACAAAAAAAATTAGATTGAAATTTATATAAATTAAAATCATTATAAAAAATGGAAAACCGTAATTATTTACTAGTAGAGAGTAAGGTATATCCACAAAATAGAATAGCCCTCACGACATTTTTTGTGAATAGTCAAGGTTATTACCCAAATGCCCAAATCAGTGGGAATGTCAACAATAGCAAGGCAATAGCAATAATTCTGTATACACAATACAGTATTATTATCCAAATGATAATTGCTGATCTAAACTAAATTCATAGGCCATTGATAGTTTGGGGTTTATCTTATAGGACAGATACAAAAAAAATTAGATTGAAATTTATATAAATTAAAATCATTATAAAAAAATGGAAAATCGTAATTATTTACTAGTAGAGAGTAAGGTATATCCACAAAATAGAATAGCCCTCACGACATTTTTGTGAATAGTCAAGGTTATTACCCAAATGCCCAAATCAGTGGGAATGTCAACAATAGCAAGGCAGTGCTGCCAGATGCAAGAAAATAAAATTTGTTCATTCAAAAAATTACAAATAGGACATAATTCTGTATACACAATACAGTATTATTATCCAAATGATAATTGCTGATCTAAACTAAATTCATAGGCCATTGATAGTTTGGGGTTTATCTTATAGGACAGATATATGATAAAACTATAAAACTTTGATGAAAATTTATACCTCATCTTATCTGTGCAAATATATGGTATTACCAAAAGTTAGATACAAACATGGTTACTTTTCGACATAATCACCATGAAGATTGAGGCATTTGTCATATCTGTGAACGAGCTTTTCCATCCTCTTGTCATAGAATCTTGCCACCAATGACTTGAGATGGGCCCTAATGTTGTTTTGAAGATTGTCATTAGTCTCGAACCTCTGCCCTCCTAACCACTTTTTCTGTTCAGGAAAGAGGTGGAAGTGCTAAATTGAGGCTGTACACTGGATGTTTAAAGGTGGTGAAGACTTCCATCCAGCTTTGAACTTTTTAATGCATGAAGACTTTCACCTCTTTCCTGAACTGAAAATGTGGCTAGCAGGGCAGAGGTTTGAGACTAATGACGATCTCCAAAACAACGTTGTTATGGCCATCTCAATTCACTGGCAGCAACTTTTATGACAGGGGGATGGAAAAGCTCATCCACAGATATGACAAATATCTCAATCTTCATGGTGATTATGTCAAAAAGTAACCATATTTTACCTAACTTTTGGTAATAAATTCATTTTGTTATTTACACTTGTGTTTGTTTTATGGACCATTGGCGCTTGAAAAAACCACCGTCATAATTCCATAAAGTCAATAATTATCAAAATGTAAAAACATAAATTAAATTTGTTAAACCTTCAATTCATATTGTAAGTTCTAAATCAGTGTTTCTCAACCTCTAACGAATCGTCACCCCCTTCAATAAAACCGTTACATAGTATCGCCCCCTTCACTACAAAATTCCAACACTGAGGGACAAGGCTAATGCCAAATTCGTACTGCATTGAATAGACTAGTGACTAGTATAATGTTATTTGTTTAATTATTGTACAATATAACATAAAATATCTAATTATTCTTAATATAATATTTTACTATATTGCCCAGAAAATTGTTTTTTGCCCCCAAAATATAAATTGTTACTAATTGCCCCCTCAAAGTGGAAAAATACCCACATGGGGACAATATCGTCCCCGTTGAGAAACTGTTGTTCTAAATAAAATCTTGTTTAAAGTTTCAAAATTGTTTTATGATGAATAAATTTACAATAAAGATTTAATCTTTAAACTTTAATTATAAGCTATTTAACAACTAATAAATTTACTTTAAAACAATTTGAAAGATCATCCTTTTGCAATAAAAAAATGATATTTTACACAAAAAATTAGTAGACATAAAAATAGCATAATATAATATTTTTTTCTGAGAATTTGCAAAATAGTATTAAATAACTTATATATATATATATATTTATTTAATATCAAGTAAAGTAATAAACACAAATATAATGATTTATAAAATAGCATTTAATTAAAGTACTAAGAACTTGTTTTTTCACAAATATATACATTGAATAATTTCAATTTTAGCTTTTTAGAATAACATTATCTTACATTCTGATGATTTATGCAATGTAACTTCTTAATATAAATGATATTATACCATAAATTTTTTCTTAATAGCAATATGTTAATGTATTGCTAATTATAATTTAGAGATTATTTTTATGAAGAAATTAATATAATATATATATAATTCTAGAATTCTTCAAAGGACTTCGATATCAACAAATATTAAGGTAATAAAATTTAGATGGTTTTTAAAAATGATTAATTCACTACAGATATATTTATTTTTTTAAAAAAAAGACAGTTTTATTTCTAAAAACTAATGCTTTTAATTAGTTTTTAAAATTTCAAATTAAACATTTTTTCAATAAAATAAATTAAACAATATTGATAAATATAGCCACTTTTATGTTTCAGAACATATGAAATAATTTTACAATTTTAAGTAAATTTTGTAGTCTTTTTAGCATTGCCATTAGTCTTTTATCATCAAAAAATAAAATACATATTAATAGTAGTTTTCCAATCGTATATTTTGATGAAGCAATTATTTTTGTTGGCTGTTCTTTGATTAAATGTAGAATAATTGTAAACCTCACAAAATTTGATAAATATATATGAAAGAATGATAAAATTTGTATACAAATAATATTAAGAACTATAAAGTAAATGGAATTGTAATAGGCAAAAACATATTAGATTGAACAATAAATGATAGTCTAACTGATATTTTCAACATTTACCATAATCGATTCAATATTCATTGCTATATCTATATGTTACTGTGAATGACCGATATCTGGCAAATGTCGAGATTCTCCGGTGAAAGTCAGCATTCACACAGTCATTTCGTGAATATACAAAATATTTGCTAAATATCATTATTTCTCACTTACACCGGCAAATGTCGACATTCCTCATGCACTGATGTTGAATGTTGAATAAAAATATTTTTATTACGTTAAGACAAAAATGCAACTTTTTAATGTCAAAATAGGAGAAAACTTAAGTAACAGCACTTGTAAATAAACCGTTGAACCTAAAACGAACAGTACATTCTTAATCAGAAAAGAAAAATAATACACCAAATTACACATGCACATATATTATGTGATTAACGGTATATAATTTTATTTATTGCAACAACTTAAACTGTTATGGCACTTTGAATTGCACAAGAGTCCCTTGCTTTTACAACTGCATTTATTCGTGGAACACTTCTTTTTGCAATGACAGCATGTATAGCCTTGCCCTCCACTTTTTGAATTAGCTGTAGCTGCTTCTCTCAGCACTATTTCTTGAGATGAAATCTCATCTATGGAAAGTAACTTTTCTTTACAAATTACGAACTGATTACAGGTATAAAGCTGCTTGAGGGTATCATTTTTGTTTGCTAATTTATAAAAGTTGGAGGGTGCCATTTTTGTTTGTTAATTTATAAAAGTCGGAGTTCTTCTATTCCAACTACAACCACCAACACATTTCGGGCATCTATATGGCCACGGTTGACATCGGGGACTTGTATTCTTACAGTATCACCAATTTGAGCAGAAGGAAATGGCGAAGAATTTGGCGACAGACTGTCGCCTCTCCGTCGACATTGGCTTCTCGGGTGTCGTTTCAACCTCCACCAAAGCTTATCTGTGCTTGTCGACATATACCAGTGATTGTTCGAATATAATATAACCAAATATTCGGTCTTTCACCGACGTATTTTGCATGTGTCGACATTCACCGGAGAATATCGACATTCTCTAATTTCGGTCTTTCACAGTAACATATATATTTATTGACTTTTTTGATCTTACTACATAATTTTCTGATCTGTTTTGGAGGTATGTAAATGAGGATATACTCTGACAATCTACACAGCTATGTTAGTCAATTGCACAATGCAATTGACTAACATAGCTATTCAATGATAGATTATCTACAATAAAGAATGATATTTTGAAGAACTGTTTATATAATTTTTTATTAGACAACATTACAATTTTAGGTAGTAAGAAACTTATGGTGAAACACTCTTGATTTTCTTTTTTACATGCAAATTGTATTATTATTGTACAAATTGCTCATCTTATCCCTTACTAGTTTTATCAAGTCATTGAGATTTTTATATTTATTTTATATTTTATTATAGAAATGGATTTGTGCATATATGTACACTGCACACAAAAATTAGGGAATATTTGAAAATGAATATGAAGCGATAAAAAACAGAAGCATTTGAGTTTTTTATTAAACAAGAACATCAGAAAAGCAAACAACAAGTCAAAGAATCTTGTTCAATTATGCAAATGAGATGCAAAACCAACTTTTATTTCATTGGTGAGAATGCGCTATACAAAAAGCTTAAAGTACTGGCATATCTGCATATTCCCTGATCTTGAAAGTGTACATCTTGTAATTTCCCAAGCCCTTACAATTCCCCTGCAATACAATTTGTCTGAATGCAAAGCCTGGAGAGCCATAGGACATCTTGAAGCTGGTCAATCACAGNTTATCCCTTACTAGTTTTATCAAGTCATTGAGATTTTTATATTTATTTTATATTTTATTATAGAAATGGATTTGTGCATATATGTACACTGCACACAAAAATTAGGGAATATTTGAAAATGAATATGAAGCGATAAAAAACAGAAGCATTTGAGTTTTTTTATTAAACAAGAACATCAGAAAAGCAAACAACAAGTCAAAGAATCTTGTTCAATTATGCAAATGAAATGCAAAACCAACTTTTATTTCATTGGTGAGAATGCACTATACAAAAAGCTTAAAGTACTGGCATATCTGCATATTCCCTGATCTTGAAAGTGTACATCTTATAATTTCCCAAGCCCTTACAATTCCCCTGCAATACAATTTGTCTGAATGCAAAGCCTGGAGAGCCATAGGACATCTTGAAGCTGGTCAATCACAGACAACAGTGATAACAGCACTTGGAACATCCCAAAGCGTGATTGACAGACTGTGGAATTACTTTCAAGAGACTGACTCCATCTGCAACAACTGCAAGAGATGACCACTACTTGACCTTATTGGCAAGAAGGAACAGGCGCAGCAATGCAAAAGAGCTGTGGGGACAGTTTCTTGCTGCCACTAGATGATGGATATGCACCTAGACCATATGAAATTGGTTCCATTGTGTTGGACTGCATGCCCAGAGACCAATGGTATGCATTCCATTATCTGTTGAACACCATAGAATCCGTAGAAGGTGGGCTGATGAGCATTGTCATTGGACTGTGCTGAACTGTTGACTCATCAGAGAAGAGGACAGTTGACCACTCAGGTCAACTGTCCTCTTCTCTGATGAGTCAACAGTTCAGCCTGATAATCATCATGTCTTAATCTGGTGTGAACAAGGAATACAGGAGAATCCATGTTTCAAGCAAGAAAGGGACTCCTTCAGTGGTGGTGGAATCATGGTATGGGCTGGTATCAACATTGGTCATTGTACTGATCTCTACTTCATCAGAAATGGATCGTTGACTGCTGTCAGATATTGAGATGAGGTCCTTCACCCTATAGTGGTACCCTATGCTGAAGCAGTTAGAAACAACTTTATTTTCATGGACAATAATGCAAGGCTCCATCATGTGCATCTCATCAACAACGTGCTTCAGGAGGCAACAATCAAATGCATGGACTGGCCTTCACGTTCTCCAGAACCTGAATCCCATTGAACATGCTTGGAATTCACTGGGAAGATGTCTGGCAAACTGTCCAATGCCTCCCACAACACTTCTTGAGTTGGAAGTTGCTCTGGAGCAAGAGTGGCAAAGGATCCCACAAGAACTGCTGGATAATGTGATACTGCCCAAGCCCTATCACTGTCAGTATGTTTTGGCAGTCTTTGGTGACCATATACTACTGAACAGTCAATGTGTGGCACTCTTGTCCAGTTGACATGCTTTTGTTCACCTCCACCAATATGTCAATTGTTACTTAATTACAATAATTGAGTTTGCATAATCAAACAACTTTCTTTGACTTGTTATTTGCTTTTTTGATGTTCTTGTTTAATAAAAAAAATCAAATGCTTATTTTTTTATTGCTTCATATTCATTTTCAAATATCCCCTAATTTTTGTGAGCAGTGTATTATTATTCATGAGCATTTCTTGCTTTAAAGTGGATATTTATATAAACAACTGTTTACAGAAAGGAATGCTACAAAATATGACTAAACAATAATATTTTTATAATATGGGCAATTCTGTTCATTTAAATTAGAAATAAAACTATATAATGTATAAAAAGTATTTTAATTTTTTGATAAAAAAGTAAAAAATTGTCATAATGTATTTATTGACTTTTTTAAAACTGAAAAGCATGTAATTTTAGGAACGTTTGGATTTTTCATGTGCTTTATTTGGACCTGATGGTGGTCTTGTTTCTAATGCTCCACATATTCCAGTTCATCTTGGAGCAATGCAAGAAGCTGTGCAATTTCAAGTAAGAAATTTTAAATTTTATTTAAAGAAATCATCAATTATTTCAAGATAATAAAATAATTATTAGCTTAAATTATTAGGATTAGCATAATTAAAGAGTTTAGAATTCTCTGTAGAAAAATTAAGCAAATCGCAACCGAATTTATTTTACATAGTGTCTGGAGTATGCAGTTTCAATTTTGGAAAAAGTTTTATCTCAAAATTAAGCCACAAGGGTAAAATTTGGCCCTGTTTCTTTAATATGCATATTACATATGCTTTCTAATAAATTTTGGATGTAACAAGAGATAAAATGTTTTTCACAATTCTTCAACAGGTGAACAGTCAGGTTACTCACTTTGTCAGATCATGCATTACTTGTTAAATCAATGAAACAGCAATTACTGAGTTAACACATCTTTAATTGAAAAACATTATTGCACTTTGTTTCTTAATTCCCAAAATTTATTCTGACTTCTTAAAATCCCAAAATTTTTTTAAGTACTCTGTATTAATTTATCTTTAAATAGATTATAGTATTATTGAACATATATTTTCATATTTGAGAGGAAAATAATATAAAATAAAATAATGTTTTTAAATTATTTAATAATAAAATGAATTTTCAACAATAATTTCTATTTTTTTAAAAGATTGGTTATCTTGATGGCAAAATTAATCAAGGAGATGTACTTTTAACAAATCATCCCTGTGCAGGAGGAAGTCATTTACCTGATTTAACAGTTATTACACCTGTAAGTATAATATTAAGAAATAAGTATTTTACAGTATCATATTTTATAGCATATAAGACATATGAACATTTAAAATGCAGCTTTATTTTAGTACAAAATATTTAGGAAAAGTATTTAATGTGTTTAAATCATCATGCATCTTTGGCACGTGGCACAAATTTTTTTTTACTGTATTCTGGTTTAAAAAAAATAATATTAGAATGCACAACAGGAAAAAAACAGGCACTAAAAGAAGTTATTTACCATTAAAATATTTTACCTGAATTCATGCAAAAGCAGCATAGTTATAACAAAAAACAAACATTAACTATAACATATTTAATTAAACAATAACTTCTTGTTTTTTTTTCAAGAGTTGGATTAGATTAAGGTTATCTGTAGCCTACTGAAGGCCATTTAGGGAATTTGTTAGCCTATGGGAGATCATAACTTCAGATATAAGACATAGGACAATTTTTTTTTCCTTTGAACAACAGTAGCATCTTACATACCATAACATGCAGTAATTTAATTCATATTACCATAAATATTTGATTATCTAGAAAGTTGGTTTGTTGAACAATTAAATAAAACAAATAGCTTAATTTCTAATAAATCTTTACTCAAATCTATGTTGTCATTCTTTTATAATCCTCTCTCATCAATTATTCTCACATAAGTCATATAAGTTATTCTCATATTCTCTTAATTGGAAATTATTATGTGATAACATTCAAAAAGCTTATAATTAAAATATTTTGAAAGAACAAAAATATTATATTATTGTGGACGTTTCAAAACTTCATAGTTGAACTTTAATTATTTATTGATTTTATAGAAATATGTAGACATATATTATCTTAATAAAAATTATAACTTACTGTTCATTAGTGCTAGGCATTTTTTAGCAATTCTAATAATGAATTATGTAACTGAACATAATCCGTAATAATTTTATTGAGTCAAATCAAGTCATAAAGAAAAATACATCTATAAACATTTCAAAGTCTAATGTTTTTTTTTAATAATAAGCCATAAAATGTTAACTATTTTGGGGCTGTTTATAATCTTTGTTGTCTTGTCTTTTTAATCTGGGTTTCAGTAGAGCTAATAATGTTTTTTATGTTGTATACAAGAATGGTTTTGCTTGATATTATTATAAAGGATCCATTTTTTAGTTTTTTTTACCAAATAGTGTAGAGTTTCTTTCTGATATGATTAATCTTTACTGAATGCAAATTATTTGAAACAGTAATAAATTTAAAAAAAAGTAAAAATTGAATTGACTTACACACTACTAATTATCAACTCTGAAAATTTTCTCATAGTTTGAATCTTTAACAAAAATTGTACAATGCTTGTAATTTATGTAAATTATGTTTGAAAAATTACTATCATTTTAAATAAAAGCTTATTTCTTTTTAAAGAGAATAACAAGCCAATGAAAATCTTAATAAAAACCAATTACTACAGATAACAATTTCCACTTTCTAAGAGAAATTATTGTTATTTCTGATCTAAGAATTGCCTGTTTCCTCTAGTTCCAGTAAAATCTGATTTTTATTGATTTTATTTTAAAAAATATCAGTGAAAAATAAGAAAGTTGTAAGAAACATAATTTTAAATGTTTTACAAAATTACATCTTAATCTATAATTACATAATTGTCATATTTATACAATTAAAAAAGAAATGTTAAAATTTTAAAATATTATACAGTATTATAAATTGTAATAATTAAAATTATTAAAAATATAATATTGTCTAAAATAAAATATTTAATTTATTTTAAAATTTACTTTAATATTTACATTAATTTTTAAGGTATTTTATGGTGAACAACCTAAGCCAATATTTTTTGTTGCAAGCAGAGGCCATCATGCAGATATAGGTGGTATATCTCCTGGTTCTATGCCACCACATTCTACTAGTCTCTCACAAGAAGGTGCTACATTTATTTCTTTTAAGTTAATAAAAGATGGAATTTTTCAAGAGAAAGGTAATTTTGTGAAGTTATAAATAAAAATTATTGAAAATTTAGTTTCCTTAATAATTTAATGATAAATAATGTATACTGTTTTTTCTTCATTGGATTTTTATTTAATAATGAATTATTCTGAAATAAAAAAATCATTATATACAATTATTGTACAAATGTGATCAGTATTCATAAGGTGTTTTGAAAAAGTTGATTATTTTTATTTATTCTAGGGAATATTATTCATTTAATTAAGATTCTTGTCTTCCTTTATTATTTTTTCTTTTGATAGACATATTATATTAAAAGGATTTATTTCATAAATAAAATTTTATACATTTTTATTCTATGTTTAACAATACATTTTATGCCAAATATTACAATAAAATTTTTACTGTAATGCAAAATGTCAGAAAAAAATTTATATAATTGGATACATTATACAACTTTTTAGTTTGATTACATTACTAAAAGTAATGTAATAAGTTGATAAATACTTTAAATTGATAAAAAGTCCTAGAATATAGCTTCCCACATATGATGATAAGACATTCATGAAGAATAAGGAGAAAATTTTAAAGGCTTTTGAATCGACAGAACCTATGAGAAAACACATGCTGATATATGACATTGGTCTTATTAAAAAAACTATTCTTATGTAGTTTGTTAAAACAGAAGCAAACTTTAATAACAGAATATTGTAAATGATACCTTTTTGATAAGTTGTTTTTGTCAATAAAATTTTTGAAAATTATTCAAATTTTCCTCTTATATATAAATTACTGTACTCTAATACAGTACAATAATTTAAACATGTATAAAAATGGTTACATTCTTGCAAATTTTCATTAGCTGAACAATTTCATTATTATTTTGTCTGTTGAAGTAAGATAGAAAGACAACACAAAAAGTATGACAAATTGTATATACAGTACTATATTTAATGACACTGCCAACAATTAAAATTTTCCAAAACCTCACTAACTCAACAACCCACAAAATTCGACATGTTTAGCTTTTCCAGTAAGGTGTCGAGTTATCAGGTTTTCCCTGTACACTATTACCTTTATGTACTATAATATAAATAATGCTGTTATAAAAAAAATTTTATTCAAATTCATTTAAATCATATTTATTAAAAGTATTTATTTATAATGTGTGTAAATAATGTTACAGAATCATAATATATATGATTTTATAAAATTACTTTTATAATTTACACTAAGTAAAAATTTTAAAGAATTTATAATTTTTCAGCTGTAACAGAAATGTTAATGGAACCTGGAAAAATTCCTGGTAGCAGTGGAACAAGAAATCTTAAAGATAATATTTCTGATTTAAGAGCACAAGTTGCTGCAAATCAAAAAGTAAGAAATTAATAATCNTATATATATATATATATATATCATGTCTTTTTGTAAACATTTGTTCATTTATTATTTTTATTATATTTCTATAATAAAATATTTGTACATATTAGGGAATTATGTTAGTTACTGAACTGATTGATGTATATGGTTTGGATGTGATACAAGCCTATATGAATCATATACAGGTAAGAATTATTTAATATTGCTCTAGATACATTTTTAGAAATAAACAAATGAATATAAATTTAATTAAAAATGTCAATAAGATAATAACTTAAAATAAAGCCTGATATTTAAAAAATATCAAAATAGCTACAATGGCAACTAAAAATAATCCACAATTAAGAAATGAAACAGTTGTGGAATTTCATCAGATGACAATTTTATGAAAATTGCCATCCGATGAAATTCTACAATTGAAACTTTTGCAAAGATTTGTCACCAGGGGGAGGTTATGAAATATCTACATTTACCAGAACATTTTCCTCAGTAGATATAAAGCCTGAAAATCCTCAAGTGTTAAAGATGGAAAGAAAAACAAAGATGTCTGTAAGATCTGCCAGTTCCAATTTTAACTTTATAATTTTAATTCGATTTTTAGAATTATTTTTTGGATAATTAAATTTTTCTGTGTTTTTTAAAGGAATATTTTTAAATTTGATGGCCAAGCAGCTTAAAAAGAAAGGTCAGGTCATCAATTGTTTCTATTCTGGAACACAAGAAGTAAATGAATGATGGTTACCAATTTTGGACAGACTAAGTCTTCAAGTTAATTAAATGAAACAGATTGAAAAATATTTTTATATTTACATTATAAATTGATTTTTTTCATGCTTTTTTGATTGTAACTTGACTAGGACATATTAGCCTGTCTCTGCTTACACATAATTGCTACTTACATATTCTAATATAGCAAAATTTAAAAAATATGAGAGTGAATGTGCTATGTGCATTTTTAAAATTATGGATTGTCATGGATGCATGTTTATCTATTCTTATCACTGTTTTTTGATAGAAATGCAAATCACTACTGATCAAAAGCAACTTTTGGTAAACAGTGGAGTTTGCTGAGTTTGTGAACTACAAAATATTATTGAGTACTGAACCTCAACTATTATCTGAAAATGTGTTCTTATTAAGCAGCATTGAAAATGAGCAGAACTAGCATGTATTATTGTTATCAGGCTATGGGAACCCTGTCAGTACCTTCATTCATCCAGATTGTCATTAAGGCTTCTACTAATGTTATCGTCATTTTTTATTTTGGGCTTTATAAATTACATATTTTGATTATGATTTTATAAAATTACTTTTATAATTTACACNCTTATAATAATTATTGACAAATTTTTTATCATAAAGTAGAATGTACAAACTAATTTTTTTTAAATAACACAATAAACACAATAAAAATTTTATTTAAAAATGATAAGTTTTAACATCAAAATAATTTTAATTTTAGTTTTCAATAATAATATGATGATAAAGGATTATTATAGACTGCAAGATATTTTGTAAAATAAAAATTTTTAAATTATGTAAATGAACGTGATTATGATTTTTAAATGTAATTTTTTATAATATAGTATAATTATATTTTAAAATATAATTTTTGCAGATTTATATGTTTTAATGGCTTTATATTCACAGAACAATGCAGAAATTGCTGTTAGAAATATGCTGAAAGAAATTGGTAATAAAGTTTCATTCTCAGATAACTATGTAAATTTATGTGCTGAAGATTACATGGATGATGGAACAATGATTAAACTTCAGATTCAAATAGATAAAAATCAAGTAAATTTTCTACATGTGATGTATATATGTTGTTATCCTCTTTTTTTATTATATCTAAGATTACATATTATTAGGGAACTGCTATATTTGATTTTAATGATACTGGTTATGAAGTATATGGAAACTGTAATGCTCCAAAAGCTGTCACACTGTCTGCAATAATATACTGTTTACGCTGTATGGTTGGCTATGATGTTCCTCTAAATCAGGTAATTACAAAATACTTTTAATAAAAAAATAATTTTGTTCTTAAAATAATAACATAAATAAATGTATAGGGTTGTCTTGCACCTGTAAAAGTTATCATTCCAAAAGGATCAATATTGTCACCATCACAAGATGCAGCTATTGTAGGAGGAAATGTATTAACATCACAAAGAATTGTAGATGTGGTTTTCAAAGCTTTTAAATCTTGTGCAGCATCTCAGGTATTTACATTGTAATATTTAGCTAAATTTTTAAAAATTATTATATATGTATATTTTATTTAAATTTAAAAATTTATCTTTCATATCACAATATCGAATAACAATTAAAACATTGTTATTTGATATTGTGATATGATAGGTAAATATCAATAAAATATATTAAATGTTGCAAAGAAAAACTGTATAAAACCATTTCATATATTATTAATATAAAAATGAGTTAAGTATAGTCTAGCATAGGTGTATTCCAAGAGGGAAAGAGGGAGGTGTGTTTTCTCTTAACCTAAAAAATATAAAACTTTTTAGATTTAACTACTAAAAATATTTTATGTCCAAATCTATTCTTTATTTTCCCCTAATGGTAATATCTGGCAATGTCTCTGTGATGTAGAAACAATTAAGCTATAAGCCTTCACTTCTGATATTTTATTACCATATGTAAAAAAAATAATGGTTAAGCATTATTTATTTTAATATTATGATAAATTTTATCAATTTGAATAACAAAATAAACACAATGTTTAGAGAATAAAGTTACTGGATGTTTAAATTTTTACAAAGATTTTTCATCTGCATTTACTTTAAACTCAAAAATTTTCATCAGCTTGATTATTTGGATTTGGAAAAAAGAAAGACAAGTTATTAATATTATATAAAATTATGATAGAACAAATGCTAAGCATTCAAAACAAGCATGTTTGGTTATAATACTTGAAAACTATAGTTTGTTGTTACAGATATTTCTAGAATAAGATAAGAAACTTTTAAATCATAGAAAAATAGACTAATGTAATACTTCTATAAATATTGTAATATAAAATTTAGAAAATTAATTACAAATTATTATCTTAATAAAACTTTGTATTTAAATTATTATCTGAGTAGACAAATAATTTAAAATTTTATTTTTATTATAAAACATATCAACAAATATAAAAAACATGATTAAAGTTTGAACTTATATTGAAGTGGAATGAGAAATTAGTGTATTGGGAGTATATAAATATAAGAAATAGATTAAATGTAGAAAAATTCATTAAGATTAGCTATTGTTACATGATTTAAAATAGAGAAAATAACTCTCTATTTTGTGTTTTTGTTTTTATAAACAAATAAAATCAAGTTGTTGTTACTTGTTTATTCTAGAAATTATAGAATCACTTTCTATGTAAGAAGAGAAAATAGTTTTTTTTTAAGTACATATTTATTACTATATTTACTTTAATTTTTGTTTCAGGGTTGTATGAATAACATAACTTTTGGAGACAAAGATGTTGGTTACTATGAAACTGTTGCTGGTGGTGCTGGAGCTGTATGTAATAAAGTTTAAATAATCATAATTATGGTTTTTGTGTGTTTCTAAAATATAATTTGAATGTTAAATTTTATTAGAAAGATTGTACCATTATTTATTTTAGGGTCCAAGCTGGCATGGTCGTAGTGGTGTACATACTCATATGACTAATACAAGAATGACAGATCCTGAGATTATTGAAAAGAGGCAAGATTATAAATATGTTATTTTGAAAAATAGAAAAAGAAAAAAATATCTTTGTGTATAATTTAAATAAAACTGTAGAAATTCAACATAGTTTTTATAAAAATTTATCATTTTCAACAAATTATTTTCTATATGGAATAATAGTTGTTGAATGTGTTTGTTGAAATGATGGATATTTTAAATAAGTTATTCTGAAGAATCGGTAATATTTTATTTAAAATATTTTAATGTTTAATTTCAAGTATGTTGAATTGAATTTTAGATTTACATAGATCTGAATTTTATAGAAATATTTTTAAATAAATATTATAATGAACAACAGATTATTTTATACTTTTTAAAATCAGTTTAAAGAATTTATTTTCTTAATTAATTTTTTAAATTAATGAAAGTATAAAAATCAAGTTTCATTTAAATTTATATGTTAGTTTAGTGTTTTAGTTTTTTATTCTATCAATACACTCCAGTATATTCACTATCTCACTAAAGTATCCAGACATCTATAAAATGAAAAAGGTTTTTAGTTATAACTAGACAGCGGATTTTAGGCAAATGCCTATTTTTTTCCCTTAGCATATACATGGCAAAGATTTTGTATTAACACTTTTCATGAACATTTAGACCGAAATAATGGTATTTTAAAATGCCTAAAAATGCCTAATTTGACGTTACTGCCTATTTTTGCCTAAAACATAAAGTTTAGCCTGTTTTCATATTTTTAAAAAGTTTTTAATTTTTCGTTTCGTTTCCCACAAAGATTTACTTTGATTCTTAACATACTGTATTGCTTACATTCCAAGGCAGTTAAAATTTTACAAATTCTCCCTCCACCATACCCTCTGAAAACAGCAATTAGCCACACCTAGTCTTTTGTCACCAAGTCATAAAATCCCGAATTGCCAGAATAACAGCCTGACAGTCTACTGCAGATCAGTTTTATTTTTGTCTTTGGAGTGTTCACTTGTGGATAAAATTTTAGTGAAAATGCCAAAAGTTAAAACATCTAAAGCTTCATTAATTCGGCAATGGCTTCAAGAATTCCCTCATTACACGTCGGATGGCAAGATTATTCTGTGCCAAGTCTGTAATAAAGAGGTCAGTAAAAAAATATTTTCATAAATTAAAATATTACTGCAAATTACAAATTATATATACTGTACTGTATAATGTTAATATATATAAAATATAAAGTAGTTTAAAAACAACAAATAATAAAATTTAATATTTTTTGTAGGTGTCCAGTGAAAAGAAATGCCACCTCACACAACACGCACAAGGTGCTCAGCATAAATCAAACGTTGAACGAAAATATAAAATGAAACAGACTCTCTTGACGCAGACTTCAGAGACTTCATCAAAGAAAAATGAGTTTAGTGCTGATTTGTGTCATGCTATTATAGCAGCAAATATTCCATTTAAAACATTGGAGAACACTCATTTTAGAAATTTCTTGGAAAAGTACTGCCACCAGAAAATTCCTTCAGAGTCGACACTTCGAAAGTATTATGTGCAACCTGCATACGAAGATATTATTTCCAGGATAAGAGACAATCTTAAGGACTCTTACTTGTGGTTCTCTGTAGATGAAACAACGGACAGTCTTGGACGCTACGTTGCCAACTTGATTGTTGGAAAGCTTGATGCCGATGGGCCCTCCAGAGCTTACCTGATCTACACAAAACAGTTGACTAAAACTAACCATGAAACAGTGGCTCATTTTGTGAACAATGGACTAAAGATAATTAATCCTGATGAAGATAAAGTTCTTGTAGCCGTAACAGATGCTGCTTCATACATGGTTCCTGCCATGAAAACACTTAAGATTTTTTTTCCTGCTCTTGTCCATGTGACATGCTTGGCCCATGGTCTCAATCGGGTAGCAGAGCAAATCAGAGTAGAATACGAGAAGGTGAATAAACTCATCTCCTCTGTCAAGAAAGTGTTCATTAAAGCCCCATCAAGAGTGCAAGCTTTTCGGCAGATGCTCCCAGATGTTGCTCTTCCTCCAGAACCTGTTCTCACTCGTTGGGGAACTTGGCTGAAGGCTGTTAACTACTACAGTGAACATTTCTCTGATATAAAGAAACTTCTGGACACTTTAGCGGATGATGCAGTTTGTGTAACTAAAGCCAAGGAAATTTTGAATGACATTTATGTTCAGAACGACTTGGTGTACATTAAGTCTCATTTCACATTCATTGCAGACACTATTACTGCTCTTGAAAGTAGTGGGAAACCGATATATGAACAAATTGATCTCCTCAACAGAGCAAAGCAGAAACTTTGTGATGCACCAGGCACTGCTGCAGAAAAAGTGAGGAAAAAGTTGGATGCAGTGCTTCAAAAGAATACTGGATTAAAGTCCTTGTTTGTTGTGGCTGATATTTTGGCAGGAAAGAAGAGCAAAACCGAAAGTGAATTCCCAGTTCATCTTCTTCCAAGGTTGAAATACTGTCCGTTATCGTCAGTAGATGTGGAACGCTCTTTCTCTGCGTATAAATTAATACTCAGTGACAAACGTTGCAACTTTTCTATTGAAAATTTGGAAAAAGTGCTTATAATATATTGTGAAGCAAACTATGGGAAACAGAGTGAATAAAAAATGTAAAGATAATTGTTTGTCTACTTTTGCGTTTGCAGCATTCTGAATATGTGCATTTTTGTTTGGAATACATATGTTAAATAAATAATCCATTGTCTGATAAGTACATTACTTGTTCATTGTGCAAATTTTGACCGCCTATTTTTTGTTTATAAAGCCTAAACGAGACAATTTAAGAGCCTATTTTAGGCGCCTAAAACACTACTTTTAAGGGCCTAAATGTCCGCTGTCTAGTTATAATGTATTTCTCACATGAAATTTAAAAAAATAATGACAAATCTGAAATTTTCAGACGTTTACACTAGAAAAAATTTTTAATAAAATTGAAGACAAAACTGTCCAAAACGGATCACCATTTATTACTTGTGTTCCAAGACTAAAACATTTTCGGCGACTGACCTTCCTTTTTAGGCTACTTGTCGCCGTAGAGTTTACAAAAAGTCCTTTTACAAACACAAACATCCAATTAAAATTTTAAAAAATTTCTGAAAAAGGAACTGGTGACATACAGTTGTCTTGCTTACTTCCATCATACCTTCTTTTGGGGTTTCTTCTTCTTTTTATCTACTAAAGAGTAGCGCTGGAAAATGTAGATTTTTAGAGAAGTTGCCCCCCTGGTGACGATATATGTAGAAATTTCTTCTGTAAATCTTCGTCCGATAGAATGTTTTAGTCTTGGAACACAAGTAATAAATGGTGATCCGTTTTGGACAGTTTTGTCTTCAATTTTATTAAAAATAATTCTCTATCGGACGAAGATTTACACTAGAAAAAATATTTACATGTGCAAAAAAATATTGATCAAAAACAGCAATACAATTTTATTTCAAACTGTGAAAATTTTCATATCACAAAAGTATTTAGACAGAGGAAATAAACAATAGAAAGTGTCAGATCATTTGCTTAAAAACATGATTACAACAATTTGCTTCAACAAATGAGTTAAAGTATTTGTTTCATACTTGAGTTGTTTTATTTTGTTATTGTGAACAATGAAAACAAACAAACTAACCATTGTTCTTAAAGGACTCATTATTAAGGAATAGCAAAAGGTAAACCTCGCAGAACAGTTTTACAATTCAAGATACCATTACGAAATTCCTTACGACAAATAGTATAATTAATAAGGCTTGAACTGGACGTCCTGAAATATTTACCTCAAGACAGAAATGTGTCATTGGCAGGAAAGTGAAGAAAAATTCACAAATAATTGCTCCTAAGCTTATTGTTGAGGTTTCTGTAGAATGTGGAGTACATACATCTGCAGAAACTGTCAGAAAAATTTTAAAAGCAAGTAGCTATAAAGATTTTATGGCCATGAAAAAGGCAGCAGTAAAGTTTAAAGTTTGCAGAAGACTTTTATACAAAATCAGTTTTGAAGTCAGATGATCCAAATTCATTGTGTTTGGTTTGAATGATTGCCTGAAAGTATGAAGAAAAGCTGGAGAATCTTAAAAAATGAAAAATCTGATCCCTACAGTGAAATGTGGAGATGGTTTAGTGTTATTTTGAATTTTATGTATGCAAATAGTGCTGGAACTCAGTAATTTGTTCAGAGAATAATGAATCAATATGTGCATAAATAGATTTTAAATAACAATGTTCAAATCAGTAAGAAAATTAAAGTCTGGATAAGATTAAGATATCAAGGGTTTGTTTTCCTGCATGACAATACTTCAAAGCACACTTCAAAAATCAGTCAGTTTCTTGATATGCACTGTATAAAAGCACTTTCTTGTCCTCCACATTTGCCTGACCTCAATCCAATTGAGCATTTATAAGATCACATTGAATGAACAATCAGAACAGAATCAATAACAAACAAAACTGATCATAAAAACATCATCAGAGTTTTAAATTTAATAGATAAAGCAGTTATAAAATTTGGATGAATCAATGCCTAGTTGTTATCAGGGAAAAAGGAGGCCAAACTTATTCTTAAAAGTATAAAATATTTTGTTTTATCATTATTTATTTCTTCTGTTTGAATACTTTTGTTATGTAAAAATTTTCACAGTTTTAAATAAAAATATATTTCTCTTTTTGGTGAATGTTTTTGTACATGTAAATACTTTTTTCTAGTGTAAGAAAGTCTAAAGATTCTACATCTGTCATTATTTTTTTTCTCTTTCAAGCTCTTCTAAGGTTGAAAGAGATATTTCTATAGTTTTCTTGAATTTTCAATTATACAATATTTTAACTTATAAAAATTTCATCTTGTATAATATTAATATGTTTATCCATTAATTAAACAAATAATAATTAATAATTCGAAAAGTTAATAAACCTTTAATTTATTACTCATTTTACAGCAAAATATTAAAGTAAACAGAAATTTTAAGAATTAATAAAAAATTAAATTGTTTACATATCCAATCTTTACTGTTACATTTTAAAAAATGTTTTTGATTATGTATTATTTACTTCTATATAAGAATGATCAAGAAGATTCACAATAGATAAAAATGTAATTTATTTCAAAATTAATATTTAATTTATCCCAGAAAATATATAAAAATTTAGAAATTTATTTTGTTTTACTATTTTTAAACTTGATATATTATCATCAACAATTTATATTTACAAAATATTCCAATCCAAATATGAAATTAATTCAGAAAAATTGTAAGCATTTCTTTAATCCAGAAATTATCATGTATTAATAACAATGATAACAATAGGTTTTTAAGGCTAAAATGTCCATAATTTTGATTGTTTAGGAAGACAAAATTGTATTTTTTTCATATATAAAGTTAAATATTTTGTACTTTGTAGTTTTAAAAATTTCTAATTTTTTTTTTTTATATAACTTGAAAAAAAAATTATTTATAGTACTTTAACCTTATTTACTTTCTTTTTATGTATTTTTTAATCTTGAAAATAAATATTTAAAATAAACTTTTATTCAAAACATTAATTAATTATTAATGATAGTTAAAATTTAAAAAAAGAAAAATGATTTTTTGACTTTAATCAATTTTTATATCTTCAGCAGTAAGAAATAATGGTTCTATACTGAATTTCAGAACATCAAAACATTCTTCAAGGAGCCAAAAAATTGTTTATATTGGGAATTATTCCATCATTGGCAATTTAAACTTGTATTCGGTCCATATTTTAGATTAAAATTCTACCATTTATTCCGTTATTATAGTAACATACTCAAAAAAAGTCTGACATTCAATAGTTTTATATACCTTTTGTAATTTTTAGCTTGACCTCAAGAAGCAATTACTGTCTGAGAAAACTTTTAATATTGGAAGTTCCACAAATTTGAATATTGATTTTACTTGTAAGAAAATAGTAATGTATTTCTGAAAAGCAATTTTATACACAATGAAAGTATTTGATTAAAGTTATATTGATATTTTAGTTTTATTTAAAGCAATATCTGTTTTATTATTTTAAATTGTTCTAGTTTCAATGATTAAATAATTTAATTAAACAAGATAAGAGCATATTTAAATAATTTATAAATCAAAAGAACATGCTTTATTTGACTTTGTATGAAATTACATTATCAGATTTAAGCAAGGAAAAAATCTATTATAAACTTTGGAATCAAGTAATTATTAATTTTATTATTAGAGCTGATAATATTATCTTCCATTAAGCACATATTTAATTTCAAACATAAGAAGTGCTGTAATTCTAAAAATACATTAATATTTATTGTTGCTGATAAAATAAAATTAATATAAATTATACTTTTATAGATATCCTGTGATAGTTCGTTGCTTTCATTTAAATCCAGACACCGGAGGTAAAGGAGAATTTTGTGGCGGCGATGGCATCGTGCGAGAATTATTATTTCGAAAGGAGTTGGTTCTTTCAGTATTAACAGAAAGAAGAGTTTTTGCACCTTATGGAATGGAAGGTAATATCTATTGTAATATTTAAATTCATAAAACAATTTTTTTTCCATTTTGGAATTAATGAACTTAGATTTATTTTAATCATATGATAAATATTATTGATACAAACATATGACTCTAAATATATTTATATATTTAGAGTCATAAATTATGATCTATTACAATAAAATATATAACAAATGAACCATATAATTAAAATTTCTCAGGAAATCTAACAATATATTGTACAATTCAAGTCACCAAAGTACATATGACTCTAAATATATTTATATATTTAGAGTCATATGTACTTTGTCATATGTACATATAGTCATATGTACTTTTAAATATATTTATATATTTAGAGTCATATGTACTTTGTTAGATTTCCTGAGAAATTTTAATTATATGGTTCATTTTTTATATATTTTATTGTAATAGATCATAATTTATGCACATAGAATAAATCTTTGGGATATATATCATTTCAGTAAGTGATACAGAAGTGTTCACCAGAGATGTTATATATTATTCTTTTTACCTCTATGTCCTTACTTTTTTAAATTTCTATGTTTATCCTTGTCTACTTGGATCTTGTTTATTAATAGGACTTACTTTACTGGTGTAGTTTCTGATTAGCAAATAGAGAAATTTTTGTCAAAATTCAAAACAAATGATTTCAGGTGAAAATAAAGATATTTTGTTTTGACTTTTGAGTAAGATCTATTTGCTAATCAGAAACTAAACCAATATAATAACTCCTATTAATAAAAAAGGTCCAAATAGACAAGGATACACACAGAAATTTGTCACATTTATATCTTCAATTGCTTGTCTTAACTCATTATAGGTTTCATACTAAAAAAACACTTCGATAAACTCAAATTTATATAATGTTCTCAGTAACACATATAAAGATTATATTTTTAAATAAATGTTTTTATTTCTTATATTATTATAAAATTTTAAAACAAATTATTTTGAAATAATAATTACTTTTTTTAATCATGATTTATTTGGATGTATGAAGATAAATGGGGATAATATAGTTTAAGTGGAAAGAGATTAGTTTTTTGATGATGACTTCACTAAAAGAGTGAATTGAAAGAAGAAAAATATTAAAATAAAACTTTTAATGTTGAAAGACATTATTAATCAAGATGCAGTCTTTTATTTTTCTATAATTTTAATCCATCTTGCATCTGGATGATGAATAATTTATGAAATTTTATCCATTTAAAAATAAATAATAATTTGAATAAATTTATTCGAATTTCTAAACACGTTGCCCTCATAGCAGCAACTTTTGATAAACGAAGACGACGGTGAAGATACAACTGGCCAATAAATTACAACAAGATCGACTTGTTGTGACATAATTTACGAGTTTCGCATGTCGGATTAAAACGTTATTTAACATTTATACACGAAAATCGATTTTTGACGGCTTATATAACACGGAATTAGCCTGATTCCGTAGCACAAGATATATAACATTGATGGGAATCAATGCATCCCTTTATCTTCTCTTCCATCAATACATTTGCTGTTAATATCCTACAGAATAATTTCTTTAATACAGAAGAAATAAAAAAATAGAAAATATCCTTTATGGTCAACAAAATTATGTTTTATATTTTTGTTGGCCCGCCTCTTTTCAGTTGCAAATGGCATTTGCCTTCCAGTTTATAAAGTAAAAGGTAACGTGAGTTGCTAACATTAACACGCACACAAAATCGAATATCTTCATTGGAAACGGCGAATATCCAACAAAGTTATTTTCCTCCGATCTCATCTATTAGAAGAGAATGACACGATGGAATATTACAGGAATTTGAATATGCCATCCCTCTCAGCCGCATCACTCATTCTCCACTAATTACCGACTGGTGTAGTAGTCTGTTGGATGACACTAATAACCGGACATATTTCAGCTACGTCATTGCCCCGTGACAAATATTATCCGGTTTACTCTTTTTCTATCCCCCACGTTCACTTCAATTCTCTAGAAAATTGTAGGATCTGTTATTGTCTAACGTTTATTCCTTCAGTCATTATTATGCTGGCTGTGTGTGTGTGAGCCGAACAGTTTGTTTTAATGTTATTCTCTCTCTCTCTTTACTCTTTTTTTCTGCTTTGCTAGCCTTTAACGACGTTCCATTCTTTTATTATTTTCTGTTTTTTTCTGGTTTATTAAGCGAGATCGTCCGTGACGCTTCCTTACAACGTAACTTTGGTGGAATAATGCGGGCAATCCAGTAAATTACAATTGAAGATAATTTAATTGATGAAATTTTTATCAGGTGGAGAGAATGGCAAAAGAGGTTTGAATCTTTTGATAACAAAAAATGGCCGAGTTATCAACCTTGGAAGCAAGACGTCTGTAGTCGTTAAAGCCGGTGTAAGTATCATTTATTATCAGTTTTTTTAAGTATCATTTCGTGATACGTGGCGCCATCTGATGCTCCAAAAGATCAACTAATAAATCGATAAATTATTAAGTTTTTTTTTTAAATTTAAAATAATTAAAATATCGAAAATATTACTAAAAATATTCATTTGATGAATATTTATATTTTTGAATAATTTTATTTAAGAAAAAAAATAATTTTTAGTATACTATATATATGTATTTTTATTGTTTATTTGGCATCGTTTCAGGACATATTCCATTTAGAAACTCCTGGTGGCGGGGGCTACGGTAAACCGGGAGAAAATGTCGATCGTTGTACACAAAAGTTGACCACAATTCGCCATTTTGTAGAAAAAGGAAGTGTACACGAATATCGCCGTATGCAAGAAACAGCTTAAAAGCTTAAATGAATTTTTATATATTATAGTTTAATTATTGTCAAAAGGTCCGAGAGACAATTAAATTGTGTTGACATTATTCATTGTCGTTTACTTTTTTAATTAATTTCCTTCACAGTTTCTTCCTGGCAAACTTTATCTAAAGATACGTTTTCAAACCGTAATTCCTCTAAACTTCTCCTCTCAAAAATTGGGAGGGGGTGTTCGAAATTGCGAGGTAACACCGCCTCTGGAAGGGGCATTTGTCGTTAGTTTGTTTGTTAACGACGACAATCGATCTTTTGACCTGATGTAGAGATGTTTGGACAGACTGTCAATACCTGTTTTCCCACTGACTTGCTGAACTGTGTTGGAACAGATTTCTGTTCCTTGATCCGTTTAAATCAACTTAGACTCGGAAAAACTCTTCAGCTATCAAGAAAGAGATTGAAAGCTTGGCTTATTTCAAAAAATATTTATTTTAAAGAACGTAACGGAGAATTCCAACTTTGTTTATTATGCTGATAGACCCTGGTGTTGTGTCATCTGATAATACTTGTTAAAGCGACAATCATTTTTCTCTAATTATTCCTCCTCCTCCTCCTCCTCTCCCCAGTTCTTGCTCATCTTTTTTTTGCATCGCTGCCAATTTATTTAGTGGTTAGGAGTTGTATAGCTGCCAAATTCTGCGCGGAAGTGAGTTCTGATAAAATTTCGGCCGCATTTAGGGAAAAAGAGTTCACGAAAATATCCCCAAATTGGTGAGAAGTTTAAGAAATTTGTATTAAATCGTGTTGTAAATTCATCAGATTGAGAGAGACGAAAAGTACTTTCTTCAAACAATACATTTTATTTCCAAAAATTTCCAAACTTTTTTTTTCTACTGGACAGACATACAGTTTATATCCTCGTGCATATAAAAGGCACAAAGGCTCAATTTATTATCGCTCTTTTCTATAAATTCTTATCGAATATCCCGAGAACGATTTGGGGGTTTTTCTACACGCGTGTTCGGTCATCCATGTTAAATGAAATATTTTTTCCTTGAAATTCAATAATAAAATGAAAATTTCCCGTATATTACAATCTATGACTTCTCCGCTTCCCCGCTTCTACGTTATTGATTATCTTTAAAAAGATTACTATGGATTACCGAACACAGTCCTTTGGATATAAACACGTGACTTCACACCCGAAAAAAACCTTCTGATATGTGAAGGCCTATTGACGAACGATCCTCTTCACTAATCACATATTCCTAAACGATGGACGAGGACACAGTAAAAAAACATTTTGTTTTGTTGTCTCCATGGTAGAAAAAGAAAGCAAACATCTCGACAGTAGAAATGCTTGAACTGTTCGTTGTGGACTCTGCCAAAAAATGAGGGAAAGAATTAACCTTATTTTTAACTATGAACTATGACGTCGGGTGCCGAGGTAGGCGGTTCGAAGTTGCAGAGTCCTTGATCGGTTTCGACCACCGCTTCGGCCCTGAAGGATTCTTGGTTATCTTCACCTTCCTCTTCGGCACCCGAAGGAGCAGCGAGNATTTACTTTCTTTTTATGTATTTTTTAATCTTGAAAATAAATATTTAAAATAAACTTTTATTCAAAACATTAATTAATTATTAATGATAGTTAAAATTTAAAAAAAGAAAAATGATTTTTTGACTTTAATCAATTTTTATATCTTCAGCAGTAAGAAATAATGGTTCTATACTGAATTTCAGAACATCAAAACATTCTTCAAGGAGCCAAAAAATTGTTTATATTGGGAATTATTCCATCATTGGCAATTTAAACTTGTATTCGGTCCATATTTTAGATTAAAATTCTACCATTTATTCCGTTATTATAGTAACATACTCAAAAAAAGTCTGACATTCAATAGTTTTATATACCTTTTGTAATTTTTAGCTTGACCTCAAGAAGCAATTACTGTCTGAGAAAACTTTTAATATTGGAAGTTCCACAAATTTGAATATTGATTTTACTTGTAAGAAAATAGTAATGTATTTCTGAAAAGCAATTTTATACACAATGAAAGTATTTGATTAAAGTTATATTGATATTTTAGTTTTATTTAAAGCAATATCTGTTTTATTATTTTAAATTGTTCTAGTTTCAATGATTAAATAATTTAATTAAACAAGATAAGAGCATATTTAAATAATTTATAAATCAAAAGAACATGCTTTATTTGACTTTGTATGAAATTACATTATCAGATTTAAGCAAGGAAAAAATCTATTATAAACTTTGGAATCAAGTAATTATTAATTTTATTATTAGAGCTGATAATATTATCTTCCATTAAGCACATATTTAATTTCAAACATAAGAAGTGCTGTAATTCTAAAAATACATTAATATTTATTGTTGCTGATAAAATAAAATTAATATAAATTATACTTTTATAGATATCCTGTGATAGTTCGTTGCTTTCATTTAAATCCAGACACCGGAGGTAAAGGAGAATTTTGTGGCGGCGATGGCATCGTGCGAGAATTATTATTTCGAAAGGAGTTGGTTCTTTCAGTATTAACAGAAAGAAGAGTTTTTGCACCTTATGGAATGGAAGGTAATATCTATTGTAATATTTAAATTCATAAAACAATTTTTTTTCCATTTTGGAATTAATGAACTTAGATTTATTTTAATCATATGATAAATATTATTGATACAAACATATGACTCTAAATATATTTATATATTTAGAGTCATAAATTATGATCTATTACAATAAAATATATAACAAATGAACCATATAATTAAAATTTCTCAGGAAATCTAACAATATATTGTACAATTCAAGTCACCAAAGTACATATGACTCTAAATATATTTATATATTTAGAGTCATATGTACTTTGTCATATGTACATATAGTCATATGTACTTTTAAATATATTTATATATTTAGAGTCATATGTACTTTGTTAGATTTCCTGAGAAATTTTAATTATATGGTTCATTTTTTATATATTTTATTGTAATAGATCATAATTTATGCACATAGAATAAATCTTTGGGATATATATCATTTCAGTAAGTGATACAGAAGTGTTCACCAGAGATGTTATATATTATTCTTTTTACCTCTATGTCCTTACTTTTTTAAATTTCTATGTTTATCCTTGTCTACTTGGATCTTGTTTATTAATAGGACTTACTTTACTGGTGTAGTTTCTGATTAGCAAATAGAGAAATTTTTGTCAAAATTCAAAACAAATGATTTCAGGTGAAAATAAAGATATTTTGTTTTGACTTTTGAGTAAGATCTATTTGCTAATCAGAAACTAAACCAATATAATAACTCCTATTAATAAAAAAGGTCCAAATAGACAAGGATACACACAGAAATTTGTCACATTTATATCTTCAATTGCTTGTCTTAACTCATTATAGGTTTCATACTAAAAAAACACTTCGATAAACTCAAATTTATATAATGTTCTCAGTAACACATATAAAGATTATATTTTTAAATAAATGTTTTTATTTCTTATATTATTATAAAATTTTAAAACAAATTATTTTGAAATAATAATTACTTTTTTTAATCATGATTTATTTGGATGTATGAAGATAAATGGGGATAATATAGTTTAAGTGGAAAGAGATTAGTTTTTTGATGATGACTTCACTAAAAGAGTGAATTGAAAGAAGAAAAATATTAAAATAAAACTTTTAATGTTGAAAGACATTATTAATCAAGATGCAGTCTTTTATTTTTCTATAATTTTAATCCATCTTGCATCTGGATGATGAATAATTTATGAAATTTTATCCATTTAAAAATAAATAATAATTTGAATAAATTTATTCGAATTTCTAAACACGTTGCCCTCATAGCAGCAACTTTTGATAAACGAAGACGACGGTGAAGATACAACTGGCCAATAAATTACAACAAGATCGACTTGTTGTGACATAATTTACGAGTTTCGCATGTCGGATTAAAACGTTATTTAACATTTATACACGAAAATCGATTTTTGACGGCTTATATAACACGGAATTAGCCTGATTCCGTAGCACAAGATATATAACATTGATGGGAATCAATGCATCCCTTTATCTTCTCTTCCATCAATACATTTGCTGTTAATATCCTACAGAATAATTTCTTTAATACAGAAGAAATAAAAAAATAGAAAATATCCTTTATGGTCAACAAAATTATGTTTTATATTTTTGTTGGCCCGCCTCTTTTCAGTTGCAAATGGCATTTGCCTTCCAGTTTATAAAGTAAAAGGTAACGTGAGTTGCTAACATTAACACGCACACAAAATCGAATATCTTCATTGGAAACGGCGAATATCCAACAAAGTTATTTTCCTCCGATCTCATCTATTAGAAGAGAATGACACGATGGAATATTACAGGAATTTGAATATGCCATCCCTCTCAGCCGCATCACTCATTCTCCACTAATTACCGACTGGTGTAGTAGTCTGTTGGATGACACTAATAACCGGACATATTTCAGCTACGTCATTGCCCCGTGACAAATATTATCCGGTTTACTCTTTTTCTATCCCCTACGTTCACTTCAATTCTCTAGAAAATTGTAGGATCTGTTATTGTCTAACGTTTATTCCTTCAGTCATTATTATGCTGGCTGTGTGTGTGTGAGCCGAACAGTTTGTTTTAATGTTATTCTCTCTCTCTCTTTACTCTTTTTTTCTGCTTTGCTAGCCTTTAACGACGTTCCATTCTTTTATTATTTTCTGTTTTTTTTCTGGTTTATTAAGCGAGATCGTCCGTGACGCTTCCTTACAACGTAACTTTGGTGGAATAATGCGGGCAATCCAGTAAATTACAATTGAAGATAATTTAATTGATGAAATTTTTATCAGGTGGAGAGAATGGCAAAAGAGGTTTGAATCTTTTGATAACAAAAAATGGCCGAGTTATCAACCTTGGAAGCAAGACGTCTGTAGTCGTTAAAGCCGGTGTAAGTATCATTTATTATCAGTTTTTTTAAGTATCATTTCGTGATACGTGGCGCCATCTGATGCTCCAAAAGATCAACTAATAAATCGATAAATTATTAAGTTTTTTTTTTAAATTTAAAATAATTAAAATATCGAAAATATTACTAAAAATATTCATTTGATGAATATTTATATTTTTGAATAATTTTATTTAAGAAAAAAAATAATTTTTAGTATACTATATATATGTATTTTTATTGTTTATTTGGCATCGTTTCAGGACATATTCCATTTAGAAACTCCTGGTGGCGGGGGCTACGGTAAACCGGGAGAAAATGTCGATCGTTGTACACAAAAGTTGACCACAATTCGCCATTTTGTAGAAAAAGGAAGTGTACACGAATATCGCCGTATGCAAGAAACAGCTTAAAAGCTTAAATGAATTTTTATATATTATAGTTTAATTATTGTCAAAAGGTCCGAGAGACAATTAAATTGTGTTGACATTATTCATTGTCGTTTACTTTTTTAATTAATTTCCTTCACAGTTTCTTCCTGGCAAACTTTATCTAAAGATACGTTTTCAAACCGTAATTCCTCTAAACTTCTCCTCTCAAAAATTGGGAGGGGGTGTTCGAAATTGCGAGGTAACACCGCCTCTGGAAGGGGCATTTGTCGTTAGTTTGTTTGTTAACGACGACAATCGATCTTTTGACCTGATGTAGAGATGTTTGGACAGACTGTCAATACCTGTTTTCCCACTGACTTGCTGAACTGTGTTGGAACAGATTTCTGTTCCTTGATCCGTTTAAATCAACTTAGACTCGGAAAAACTCTTCAGCTATCAAGAAAGAGATTGAAAGCTTGGCTTATTTCAAAAAATATTTATTTTAAAGAACGTAACGGAGAATTCCAACTTTGTTTATTATGCTGATAGACCCTGGTGTTGTGTCATCTGATAATACTTGTTAAAGCGACAATCATTTTTCTCTAATTATTCCTCCTCCTCCTCCTCCTCTCCCCAGTTCTTGCTCATCTTTTTTTTGCATCGCTGCCAATTTATTTAGTGGTTAGGAGTTGTATAGCTGCCAAATTCTGCGCGGAAGTGAGTTCTGATAAAATTTCGGCCGCATTTAGGGAAAAAGAGTTCTATTTAGAGTCATATGTACTTTGTTAGATTTCCTGAGAAATTTTAATTATATGGTTCATTTTTTATATATTTTATTGTAATAGATCATAATTTATGCACATAGAATAAATCTTTGGGATATATATCATTTCAGTAAGTGATACAGAAGTGTTCACCAGAGATGTTATATATTATTCTTTTTACCTCTATGTCCTTACTTTTTTAAATTTCTATGTTTATCCTTGTCTACTTGGATCTTGTTTATTAATAGGACTTACTTTACTGGTGTAGTTTCTGATTAGCAAATAGAGAAATTTTTGTCAAAATTCAAAACAAATGATTTCAGGTGAAAATAAAGATATTTTGTTTTGACTTTTGAGTAAGATCTATTTGCTAATCAGAAACTAAACCAATATAATAACTCCTATTAATAAAAAAGGTCCAAATAGACAAGGATACACACAGAAATTTGTCACATTTATATCTTCAATTGCTTGTCTTAACTCATTATAGGTTTCATACTAAAAAAACACTTCGATAAACTCAAATTTATATAATGTTCTCAGTAACACATATAAAGATTATATTTTTAAATAAATGTTTTTATTTCTTATATTATTATAAAATTTTAAAACAAATTATTTTGAAATAATAATTACTTTTTTTAATCATGATTTATTTGGATGTATGAAGATAAATGGGGATAATATAGTTTAAGTGGAAAGAGATTAGTTTTTTGATGATGACTTCACTAAAAGAGTGAATTGAAAGAAGAAAAATATTAAAATAAAACTTTTAATGTTGAAAGACATTATTAATCAAGATGCAGTCTTTTATTTTTCTATAATTTTAATCCATCTTGCATCTGGATGATGAATAATTTATGAAATTTTATCCATTTAAAAATAAATAATAATTTGAATAAATTTATTCGAATTTCTAAACACGTTGCCCTCATAGCAGCAACTTTTGATAAACGAAGACGACGGTGAAGATACAACTGGCCAATAAATTACAACAAGATCGACTTGTTGTGACATAATTTACGAGTTTCGCATGTCGGATTAAAACGTTATTTAACATTTATACACGAAAATCGATTTTTGACGGCTTATATAACACGGAATTAGCCTGATTCCGTAGCACAAGATATATAACATTGATGGGAATCAATGCATCCCTTTATCTTCTCTTCCATCAATACATTTGCTGTTAATATCCTACAGAATAATTTCTTTAATACAGAAGAAATAAAAAAATAGAAAATATCCTTTATGGTCAACAAAATTATGTTTTATATTTTTGTTGGCCCGCCTCTTTTCAGTTGCAAATGGCATTTGCCTTCCAGTTTATAAAGTAAAAGGTAACGTGAGTTGCTAACATTAACACGCACACAAAATCGAATATCTTCATTGGAAACGGCGAATATCCAACAAAGTTATTTTCCTCCGATCTCATCTATTAGAAGAGAATGACACGATGGAATATTACAGGAATTTGAATATGCCATCCCTCTCAGCCGCATCACTCATTCTCCACTAATTACCGACTGGTGTAGTAGTCTGTTGGATGACACTAATAACCGGACATATTTCAGCTACGTCATTGCCCCGTGACAAATATTATCCGGTTTACTCTTTTTCTATCCCCTACGTTCACTTCAATTCTCTAGAAAATTGTAGGATCTGTTATTGTCTAACGTTTATTCCTTCAGTCATTATTATGCTGGCTGTGTGTGTGTGAGCCGAACAGTTTGTTTTAATGTTATTCTCTCTCTCTCTTTACTCTTTTTTTCTGCTTTGCTAGCCTTTAACGACGTTCCATTCTTTTATTATTTTCTGTTTTTTTCTGGTTTATTAAGCGAGATCGTCCGTGACGCTTCCTTACAACGTAACTTTGGTGGAATAATGCGGGCAATCCAGTAAATTACAATTGAAGATAATTTAATTGATGAAATTTTTATCAGGTGGAGAGAATGGCAAAAGAGGTTTGAATCTTTTGATAACAAAAAATGGCCGAGTTATCAACCTTGGAAGCAAGACGTCTGTAGTCGTTAAAGCCGGTGTAAGTATCATTTATTATCAGTTTTTTTAAGTATCATTTCGTGATACGTGGCGCCATCTGATGCTCCAAAAGATCAACTAATAAATCGATAAATTATTAAGTTTTTTTTTTAAATTTAAAATAATTAAAATATCGAAAATATTACTAAAAATATTCATTTGATGAATATTTATATTTTTGAATAATTTTATTTAAGAAAAAAAATAATTTTTAGTATACTATATATATGTATTTTTATTGTTTATTTGGCATCGTTTCAGGACATATTCCATTTAGAAACTCCTGGTGGCGGGGGCTACGGTAAACCGGGAGAAAATGTCGATCGTTGTACACAAAAGTTGACCACAATTCGCCATTTTGTAGAAAAAGGAAGTGTACACGAATATCGCCGTATGCAAGAAACAGCTTAAAAGCTTAAATGAATTTTTATATATTATAGTTTAATTATTGTCAAAAGGTCCGAGAGACAATTAAATTGTGTTGACATTATTCATTGTCGTTTACTTTTTTAATTAATTTCCTTCACAGTTTCTTCCTGGCAAACTTTATCTAAAGATACGTTTTCAAACCGTAATTCCTCTAAACTTCTCCTCTCAAAAATTGGGAGGGGGTGTTCGAAATTGCGAGGTAACACCGCCTCTGGAAGGGGCATTTGTCGTTAGTTTGTTTGTTAACGACGACAATCGATCTTTTGACCTGATGTAGAGATGTTTGGACAGACTGTCAATACCTGTTTTCCCACTGACTTGCTGAACTGTGTTGGAACAGATTTCTGTTCCTTGATCCGTTTAAATCAACTTAGACTCGGAAAAACTCTTCAGCTATCAAGAAAGAGATTGAAAGCTTGGCTTATTTCAAAAAATATTTATTTTAAAGAACGTAACGGAGAATTCCAACTTTGTTTATTATGCTGATAGACCCTGGTGTTGTGTCATCTGATAATACTTGTTAAAGCGACAATCATTTTTCTCTAATTATTCCTCCTCCTCCTCCTCCTCTCCCCAGTTCTTGCTCATCTTTTTTTTTGCATCGCTGCCAATTTATTTAGTGGTTAGGAGTTGTATAGCTGCCAAATTCTGCGCGGAAGTGAGTTCTGATAAAATTTCGGCCGCATTTAGGGAAAAAGAGTTCACGAAAATATCCCCAAATTGGTGAGAAGTTTAAGAAATTTGTATTAAATCGTGTTGTAAATTCATCAGATTGAGAGAGACGAAAAGTACTTTCTTCAAACAATACATTTTATTTCCAAAAATTTCCAAACTTTTTTTTTCTACTGGACAGACATACAGTTTATATCCTCGTGCATATAAAAGGCACAAAGGCTCAATTTATTATCGCTCTTTTCTATAAATTCTTATCGAATATCCCGAGAACGATTTGGGGGTTTTTCTACACGCGTGTTCGGTCATCCATGTTAAATGAAATATTTTTTCCTTGAAATTCAATAATAAAATGAAAATTTCCCGTATATTACAATCTATGACTTCTCCGCTTCCCCGCTTCTACGTTATTGATTATCTTTAAAAAGATTACTATGGATTACCGAACACAGTCCTTTGGATATAAACACGTGACTTCACACCCGAAAAAAACCTTCTGATATGTGAAGGCCTATTGACGAACGATCCTCTTCACTAATCACATATTCCTAAACGATGGACGAGGACACAGTAAAAAAACATTTTGTTTTGTTGTCTCCATGGTAGAAAAAGAAAGCAAACATCTCGACAGTAGAAATGCTTGAACTGTTCGTTGTGGACTCTGCCAAAAAATGAGGGAAAGAATTAACCTTATTTTTAACTATGAACTATGACGTCGGGTGCCGAGGTAGGCGGTTCGAAGTTGCAGAGTCCTTGATCGGTTTCGACCACCGCTTCGGCCCTGAAGGATTCTTGGTTATCTTCACCTTCCTCTTCGGCACCCGAAGGAGCAGCGAGATAAGTCCTGAAGGTGTTCGATCTCGCGCGTTTGTGAGGACACTGTTCGTCGTCGCAACCTCTTTCCGGATCTAAACCTCTTCCCCTCAGTTGAGGGGGCGGAGGAGGGGGCGGTAGAGGGGGAGACAGACTACTGCAACTGACCGTGTCGCCCCCGTGCTTCTGACAGTAGAAATAATGGTGATGGTGATTAGAATCGCTAATGGTGTTAATAGTCACGTGTTTGGTCCTCTCGTCTTCTCCTTTAGATATCGGATGACCGTTTGGATTACACCGGAACACACTCAAGTCCACTTCCGGTACGTAACATCCATTTGTTTCTTCTTCTGTATCCAATGCGATTTTTCTTCGAGCGGCGCTGATTTCCGCCGCTTGAGCCGCTAAAGCCGCTTCAGTACTATGGTCGATTTCCATGTCAAAAGAAACGTCTTTGGAACGTCTGATTTTATATTCTCTCCTTCTTTGTCTTCTACTCTTGACTCGAGCGTAGCAAGTGACCACGATGGACGTGCACATGGCAAATACAAGAGCGCAGAAGACTATCAGAATTATGATCATGTGGTCCGATGTGAGCAACATTATGCTAGATTTCGAAGTAGCTGTACAAAAGAAAACATCGAAATAAATTCTTTAAAGCCATTTTTACTTAAATTTTATTCTAAAATCTAAATTTCTTTAAAAACGACACACTTCTAGTGATATATCTAAGCAATTTTTCCACCCGTTGAACGCCTAGAAAAGGCGAAATTAATGTAAAAAAAATAAAGTAAAATTGCGTTTTCTAAAGGCGAATCGAATTTTTCTCTTATTTTTTCTGATGCTAAGCCAAAGACAAACCGCAAAACATCCGGTAACCAATGTACCATGTCAGAACAAAGAGGCAAAGTAGAGACATTGGCTTTAAACATTCCCATTGAAAAAAAAAAACAAATCAAATTTAATTAATTAGAAAATGGCGCATTACTCCAATCACTTAAGGAAAAAATTTAAAGCATTCCCGACCGAAAAAACACTGTAAATTGCCGATAAATTTGCAAAGAATTCTCTTGTCTCCTATACAGAATGGTAACTCGAGTGAAAGAAAGGATCATGTAAAAATGTGTATGTAATACGTTGTAACGGAAAAATTGGCTACAAGAGAGAGAGAGAGAATAACAAAAATATTTTGGCTCCGATAACAGTTCATAAGTAGAGCGTGCAGAAGGAAGCTAATGTTTGTTATAAATAAAAATTCCCCCCCCCATTCCCATCCTCCGATAGGAATTTGTGTATCTGAACTAAATCTAACTCCAGTCAGCGCAAAGTTGTCAACGTCATCAGCTTTGTCAAAGCGGATCTATAAGTGGTTCAAAATCTCGGAGATGGAATACGCTGCTTTACATTTTCGACTTTCCCCATTTCTTATTCTCTACCCCCCCGGCCCGTATTTTTCTATTTTAAATGGGTTTATAACGACGCACTGGATCTTTCATCAAAATCGCATTGGATGCACTTCTCTTCCGCAACTTGCTGTCCTGTAAGATTCTGATAGCTTGACTTATTTCGAATGGAAGGAAATCTTCCGCTTCGACTCGGATTCTGATAAATTTTCTTTAAAATCCTCCATTATTTAATCTGATAGCGCGAAAGATTCCCGACGTTTTCTTTACCCGGTTCGATAAGTGACAGATTCTCTTCCCTCTTTTGTGTGAGAAACTTTAATAATTGGATTAAAACCGCTTACAATTATAATCATCCTCCTCGCAATCCTTACAGTTCTTTCCTTTAATAATAATATTTTCGGTTGGAGAGGGAAAGTCTTGAGAAATCCAACGAGGATCCTTCATGGAATAAAAACCTGAAGCGTGGCTACGAGAAAATAATCTAAATACGGTTAAACCTGTCAGAGGCGGAACCTGAACAGAATGGAAAATTCTTAGTAACCTGTTTAAAACAGAAAAATCTCTCCGTTTTATTCAGGTTCTATGTTTAATAACTTGTTCAAAACGGAAACCTGCAAACAATGGCACGTTATAGCTTCATGGTGACCAAGCAAATTTGAATTCGGGACTTCACGTACTGTACTTCATACATTTTTCTTCGAGGAATTTTTTTGAGAAATATTTTCTTATAAAATATTGGTATGAGGCCTCCGGTTGTTGGGGGCCCAGGCAATTGCCCATTTTGCCCAAAGGATTACGCGCCATCGCCTTCCAAACCAGAAAAAAAAATTTGATACCGCTCCATCTGGTTTACACGGATTTTACCGTATAAAAACATCTATTTTATTTATTTCGTATAAAAATGGAGTACATTACGTTAAAAAAAAAAAGAGACGTTATTATAATTTAAATTTCGAATTTAAAAATAAAATTAGCCGTGGAAAATTTAGATCATAAACATCTGTTGCACGTTAAAAAAAAATGGAGCTGGTGTCGCACTACTTTTTTTCAAATTTCAAATTTTTTGTCCGTTGTAATTTACAATAACCGGTTAGAACACTTCATTAACGGAATTTTTTTTTCTTTCTTTTCTTTTTTTTTCCTTATCTGACAAATTTCAAAGTTCTATTTCGATTTTCGTGGCTATTAAGCGAGAACTCCTGACAAGTTAGTGCATCGTTCAAGTGGTTGTCAACACTCCAACAAAAGAAAAAGGAGTTTCCTTTGATACTAAATTACATTCCGTCGCGTACAAGGTCTTTTCTAGAGTAAATAGAACACTTCAGTATGTCGTGTCTTCGGGCTCTTTACAGAACTTCACTCCCTTTTCCTAGAAATGTGCGATTTACCAATGTAATGGGCCATGCTACAGATTCCTATGTGTTACCGGTATCTACTGTCACCCTCTTTGCTCTAAATTTGGCCACCTCATAATAGATAATGTCGACGCTTCGGGCATCGAAGCTTCTTCTATTGAATACACCCAGTCGATATTTGCAATTATTATCCAGGCAAAGGGGGGTCAGAAAAAAAGAGAGAGCATAAAACAATTTTCAAAGTTGACTAAATGGGGGAGCGCTAATATAACAATAAAAAAAAGAGATATCGGTTTATGAGTCCTGGCAAATTTGCATATAAACTCTGTTGATTTACCTCTACTCTGTCTGGAAATTACTACAAATTTAAATGCTTGGAGCATCTTACAAGCTTTCACCCATTAACTGCCGACTTTTTATATACTTAATTGGATGTCAACCCCTATAGCTTTGTACAAAAATATATTGTAAAACGTTGGAGAATATTTATATAAAATTAAATTCTAGAAGTACATCCGGCTTACTAAATACCTTATTTTACTGATTACCGACCTTGGTAAATGTAATAAATGTGTAAATTTACCTGGAGAACACAAGGACGGATCCTCATCGTATCTGTATTTACAATTATAGTTTCCATCGCACTTCAGATTCTTTGTTATACAAGTGCCATCAGCGCAGTTGAACTCTACGTCGCTGTCGCATTCCTCTATAGAATAAACAATAAAAAAATTTAATTTAAAATTTTAAAATGTCCGTTTTATACAGGTTAATTAAAGTCTAGGTGCGAAATTGTGAAAGGAGGGAGAGAGAAATCTTGTTTCTTTCGGCATTAAAATTCTTTGTACCGTGTGAAACTGTTTTGTACTCTATCTTGTAGCTTTTGTCCGTTCTATAGAGGTTAATTAGAATCTAGAAGCGAGATTTTTAAAGGAAAGAGCGAGGAAGAAGGAGAGAGAAATCCATTTCTTTCAGTATTAAAATTCCTTGTACCGTGTGAAACGGCTTTGTACTACATCCTGTAGATTTTGTGTTTCTTTTACATAATAAAACTGTCTTTTATAAATCAGAAGGCGGGTAGAAATACGAACATATTTTAGATGAAATGCACTCTTTGGAAAGAAAATGGATTCTTTTGTTAAGAGTCGCATCGGGTTTATCGGATATGACTGGTCATAAGGGTACAACGGAATGGAGAAGTTAACGCTTGAAACCGAATTCTGGTATCTGGACTGTATACTGAGAATGACTGATGTTTTGGAAGTGCTTTGGTGTGTTCTCTGTTCTGTTGTAAAAGATAAGCTGTGTCGTGTCGTTTCCAGAAATGTTTCTGTCTTAAAATGGGAATTGTTTACCAGTCTTTCGTGTTACAACCCCGCTTTGTTCTCTTCCTTTTTTCCTCTTTTCTTGTAAAGATAATAATAATAAAAAATAAAAAAAAGGTTTCCTGTAAGACCTCTCGTACACCCAAACCGTCGAAGAAATTACAATTACTTAAATAGTAAATTAATGAATGAGCAGGTGTCGGTGACATCGCAGTTGACAAAACTGTCATTCGGCCAATTAAATTTGATTTTGTATCCGCTTTATCAAATGAATTAATTATAATATAATTTTTCAATTATCTTTTGTGGTATACTTGGTTTCTTAATTGGGAACATTGGAATATCTTCACGTAGAAAATTTTTATCGAGATTATCCGATTAAAAAGAACTTTCTCTCGCATCTTTAACGTTAATTAAAGACTAATTAATCTAGAATTATTTTATTTTATATATATATTTTTAATTTGAATAAGGTCTTAACATGAAATCTGACTTGCCAAAGCATTCTTATGTGATCGAATGCGTGGGCTGAATAGCAATTTCTAACTTTGCTAGGAAATGTAAAAGTTTCTTCCATGTTCTCTTATGCCATCAAACATTAAAAAAACAGGATGTTTTTTTTCCTTTTTATTTTTGCAGAAACTTAAGACAGTGCACATGAAACTAAAACGTCTACATCCTGTAAGGCTGGAAGATCGATGATTGCTCCTCTCCAACCTATCTTGTAATGTTATTCTGATCAACTATCTACAAGTTACCGTGTACGAAATTGTTTGCGTGCAAATGCACTAGAAATTACATTAAGGTAATGACAAATATTACGTCATTAAATATAGTAAAATGTGCATTCGTTTTAACAACTATTTATGGAAAATTTAATTCTCATCACTTCGCAATCTGTTTTGCTCCTCATCCTTCGTTAGAGAGAAAAAAAAATCTCTTAATTTTAATCCCTTTCGGCAATTTATAGGGATTAAATGGATATTTATAAACTTGTAAAAGAAGAAAAATTCGAGGATTTTTACGTATCTTTAGTTGATTATGTGTCGAAAGAGTACGGCTTCATCCGCATCTTTACAATATCTTCCAGGAAAAAATTATATAGAAACTATCGTTTGAAGGTAAGTGAACAGAATAAATTTAGCATAATCGTTAGTTTTACTTCTGCATTTTCTATCTGTCAGATTTGAAGAGTGTTGTTATGCAAATTAAATTGAAATTCTCACCTGCTTCTCTGAAGGCCGTAAACAAGATGCTAAATATCCCTTGTAATGCCGTATGCTCCGCATAATATCTAACGTGAAGAATGGATTTATCTGATCTTTGAGCTTCGGTACCCGTACCACAGAATCTTGCCAACTTTTTCTCTTCGTTTAAAGTCTCCCCGTATACTTCAATATAATTAACATTGCAATTGTTCGGTTCTTCCAGGCTGTACTTCTTGAAGGATAAATACATCTGGAATAAGAAGAAGAAAAAAAAAACAGGAAAAAAGAGGGGAAGGGCTAATATTTTGATCGAATTTTTGTATAAAAATCGAAGGAAAATATATTGTTACATCCACACTTTACCTTCCATCCCGTAGGGACTCGTATTATCCACGTGCAATCAAGCGGTACTTTCCAAATCAGGGAATAGTTGTAGGTGGCTTCTTGAATGTCGTTGTTACTTAAAATACCATTCAGCCCTTCTCGATGGAAAATACATTCTGTCGACCAGAAAGAAATCCTTTTTTAGTTCGTCCTTTTCTTTGATAAACTTTCCTTGTTCGATGTTAAGATTTTAACGATTTTTTTCAACTTAAAATATTAATTTTTTTAAAAAAAATAAAGGTGTGTAAATTTAATTCTTACCTTCTGAAGGAGGTCGTTCGAAACCTATTCAAGGATACAAGAAAAGGAAATCTTTAGAATCGGTTTAGAACTTCATTTGCATAAGTAAAGTAATTGAAAGAAGTTTCTTAAAAGGTAACTTTTAACTTTAATTAAAGATAAAATTCTGTAAAAAGTGGGGAAATCTCCCCCTTTTTTACTGCTTTATCTGATTCTATAAGTGTTTTTTTTTAACACGGGTCAAGTATTATAACGAATGCCAAGACATAAATTGACTAAGTAGTGGCACGAAGAGCGTGGAGCTGTGAAACAGTGCTTTGGTGATATTTTATGACGTTTCGACACTGCACTCTCAGAAACAATAACACTACGTCATTTGTCCCGATGTTCGATGTTGTATCCTTTTCTCTCTTTCGGCATAAAGGCCAGCCTGAGGTTAATTGTGATTTATCACCCTCGAGATCTTTGCCGCATCTTGATCCGAGTAATTTTAACTGTGAGAAATTGCACTTTGAAGATTTTAACAGTCTGAAAACTTCTTAACAATCTAAAATAAAAGTTTATTTACTTAAAAGAATATTTCAACTCTCTTTCCAAGCTTTTAATTGACTCTCTTTCCTTCTACTTTCGTGGCTATCAGTTTAATAAGTGAAAATGTCCCCATTTTTTTATGGTTAAAACTTAAAAATAATCGATGGAAGAGTAGAATTTAAAAAATTTTAAATTATTTTCTATAAAATTTAATTAATTATTCGATTCTTTCTGCGATAAACTTAAAGATAAATCCAAGATGCTCTCAAGATGAAGCATCACATTTAGCAAAATATAAAGTATTAAATGTAGAAAATATATTTATATTGTATAAAATATAATTATTTAATGTTTTAAATGAGTAAAAAAAACACAATTATACATCGAAAACGGGGAAAAAATCCATCAAATTTGAGCTGATCCCTGCATAATTTTACTAGTCGAATTTTTTTTTTTCGGATGCAATTTCCTTCATCCAGTTACTTTTGCCCTTTATATATGTGAAATGAGGACAATTTTCCTTTGAAATTTTCTCATTTCATAAAAAATTCCCAGCACAAACTATCATAAATCGGGAATTAGAAGAAGTTTCCTGACAACTGCAATGTTACCGACCGAGAATAATCCAGTAAAATCTGGCATGGTCTTCGAATTTATAGAATATTTTAATATATATTTTTGACACGTCATTCTTATAAAGAGAGAACAAAATTTTTCTATATATATATATATATATATTTATATATTTTTTTCTTTCTTTCCGGTATTTTTTTGGGGGAGATTTTACAGAAACATGGTAGGATTGGTAGGCCGAAATACTAATTGATATACGAAGATAATTTGATAGAAACTTCATCACAAGACAACTTTAGCACTTCTTTTGGATATTTATAGTTTATTACTGTGAGGTTTCGGTCCATTAAAGTGACAGAGAAGATTCTTTATTAAATAAAAGTCTCTTTTCTCGTCCGCTAATTGGGATAAAATCGGAAATTTCAAAAATTGAAGAGGAAAATATTGGAATTAATGACAAAAACTTCTTTTAATATAGGGAAAGTTTGATGTCGACTAGGAATTAGTATTCGTCTCTTGGAAATTAATCATATAAAACAGCTTTCTTGCTCGTCTAACACACTTTGGAATGCCGATTCGCTGTCCTTTAATCACATCAAAGTCTACCCCTCAACAAATTTATCGTGTTAAGAATTGATCAAAATGGATGTAAACCTCCCACTTTTACTTTAATATCTAATGGAAAATGCATCAAAATTTAGTTATTTAAACCCCAATAAATTACATTTATTTTTAAAATAAACCATATTGCCGTTTATTTATTTATTTTTTTCTGAATATTATAATTAAATTCTGCAGCAAGATCCTCCCGGATATATAACCCCGAAGCCGAGAGAATTTTAAGCGTTATAAATTTGCGGAGAGAGGGATGAGTTTAAAATTAGATCTTATAAATATGTGTTTAATAATCCCTCCGTAAGTTAACGATTGAAGAATTTTCAAACTTCATTTCCTCTGGAGGAGATAAGAAAGGAAAAACCTTTCCCCCCCCGAACGAAATGTAAGATGCTATAAGTTTCAGTGAAGCAAGCTTGTAAGAAGATAAGGTCCCACCTGACTGACGGTGCAATGAAAACCCAATTTGTTTAGGCAGGATTTTAAAAACGCAATCTCTCTCTTCATTAAATAAGCTTTGGTGGCTGTAAACTTTTTGATCAAATCTGATCAGTCTCCGTGGAAATTGCTACACCGTGTGATTACACTTCCTCCTCATCTGCATCCCGACTTCCTTAATTTTTTCCTCTTCCCGCCGGTTTATCTTTGACCTTCTTTTATATTCCTCTTCTTCTTCTTCTCTTACCTCCTCTCTATCTGATTTTGCTTTAAAATAATCAGAATATTTAAGGGAAAATATTCCCATCCTCTAATGGTTTCTTTCCATCGATGCTGTGTTGTTCGCACCCCGAGTGAAGGGTCCACTCTGAAAATTAGCATCGGACCATTAATTTAATTAAGAACGCGCGCGACTCGGATCCGGATAAAAAGGGGTGAGTACGAATGACGTCACCAATCAGATTATTTGGCAGCGGCACCGTCGGTCATTAACTTCTCAGCCACCAATAATTCGCTGCCGAAAATCAATGACGGTTCCTTCCAATTTCTAGTTTTCCGCCTATAATTACCGTTGTTTCTGCCAGGGGTGACGATCGATCGCCGATAGATAGCATTGTTTTAATTATGCCTTTCGGAAAAGCGTCAGGGGTATGGGCCAATCCGTCTGGCTTCTACTCCACTAAATAACTTTAAAAATAAGTTTGTTTTTTTCTTCGAGGGAGGCCCTCTTAATTATCTTCAATATCAAAGCGAAACCTAGTAAAGTTATGGATTTGTTGTGGTGCAGGACACACATACACGCAGCCGATTTTCGTTATTTCCGCAATGGAAATCGATAATTGTACGAGGAAAGGGTGGAAGAAAGATGAGAAGAGTTCTTACCTTCGATCCTTATGAATTGATAGACAGCTCTAAATCCCGAATACTCGATACTGTCGTCGGAAGAAAACTTGAGCCACAAATAACGGTCTGAAGAGGTGATGAAGTTAGGAAACTTGTCGCCACAAACTTTACGAATGACTTTAGAATATCCGTAAGGTCCATCTCTTACTTCTAAAGAATCATACTCGCAGGTGGGAGAGTCCTCCAAGTGGAAGTTATCTCGAAAGTCGATTTGTACGAAGTAACCAAAGGGAGCTGAAACACAAATATCCTTGGTTATAGCCTACGTCTTGCCTTATCTCTACGCTTGTTTTCTGTTTCTTGGCTCCTTTCCTCTTAAGAAAAGGGCCACGAAGTTACAATGAATCTTAAAAAAGGAGTAGGATAAGCATCTAAAAAGTAAAAGGAAGAGGAGTTAGCAGATGATGAGTAGGAACGAATATAAGTTAGCAATCAGAAAGGTAGAGCGAAAGGAAGAGGAATAAAACGGATAAAATGAAAGCTAAAGGATTAAACAGGATAGGAGTAAGCAGATAAGAAGTGAAAGAGAGAGAAGTGGACATAATCTATAGGAAATTAAAGAGACGGGATTAGTAGCTAGGATACGAAAAGGATAAAAGTAAAGAGTTGTAAGTGTAAATTCGAAGGGTGTGGAAGTAAACAGGAAAGGGATAAAGGATATAAAACTGGGAACAACACTAAAATAAATGAAGGAATAGGAGGAAAGTATACAAGAAACACAAGAATTTCTCATATTTTCCACTTAAAAACTATCTTAAATAAGCATCAGCATCATAGTTTAATGCAAAAGTTTAGTTACCGTTTGAAATTTGATCGATACTTTTTATCCGAATGGCGAAACAGAAAAATAACATTAGAACTTTTATTGCAGAACAATTACATGGCGAACGACTCTATTCCCAGTTCATTTATTTATTTTTTTTATTTTTTTGTTAAATAAATTCCATTAAGGGAAAGGGAACCATTTGTAGTTCTTTGGAGATTTACACCCGAGAGGACGTCCCTTCTTATGATAGAAAAGTTTCGACACTTTGACCTACTTCCGTTGTATTTGACTATTTCTATGAGTCGAATCTGGACAACTTTTTTTCCTCTGATGGAATAGTCATTAGTCGGAGGAATCACCGAACAAGGAATGTATCATTTATCATCTTGATGGATTCCTTGCCATGAAAATTCGTAAACCTGAAAAGACTTTTCACACACATCACACGCCAGAAATTGCCTTAGCCCAACACCATTTATAATTTGACTTAAACGTAATTTATAAGTTAATGACAACTTTTCTATCTCTTATAAAAAGAAAAATAATAATAAATTTATAAAGAAATTTAACAATTTATGACTCTTAATACTATTTTTATTATTATTTATTATTTAGAAGGGAATAACTATGTAACTGTTCGAGCTTCGTTAAAACTAGTAAAGTGATGCTGAGGAGGAGGATGGAGATGAAGATCCGTAAAGGGAGAAATACTGTAAAAATATATATATAAATGTATGATAATTACCTGTAATTTGACGCACACATTCTGTATTATTAGGGTAGTTATTCGGGTAGAGAGGTGAGTAAAACTCCATTTTTTCGGGATTTCCAACAGAAAAATTATGGCAGATGCGGGCTCTATCGGACTCATTCATTTCGTTTCCATGAAATCCCTGAATGTCTTTACCTGTATTAAAGTGTAATTTTTTTTAAAAATAATCTCCTTACATATTTTTTTCTTACAGATTCTAATTACTTCCTATTCAAATTACCAACTTTTCTTAACATCATTTAATCAGCTTAATGACTATATTGGCGCTATCTGATACACGATAAGGTTCGGCAAATAGTTTTAAATGCAACAGTCACCACCGAAAGTTAATTTAGTAAACTAATGGCCACACCCTTTACCCAATCTTGTAGAAAATTGTTTAGGATGATTCTGGCTAATGATTTATAACAGCAATAAGAACTATCGATTACACTTAAAGCGAAAAATCTAGACGTGTAAGCGGATATAAATCAACAATGGCTCGATATTTTGTAATTTGTTTTGATGAGATTTCTTGCTACAGAGTAATTGTTTTGATAGTTGGACACCTTGGCAATTATTCTTGCTTTGTTAATTATAGTTACTCTTTGATTACACCCGATGCGACTGTGAAGTAATTATACATACAGAAGACTCTATCGAGTTAAATCATCCCCTCCTTTGAGATTTAGCATCGTACCAAAGAGGCATTTTCCTATCTAACAGTATAATTTTCTAATGTTTACACATTGTTTCCATTTTTTTCCCCTCTTCCTCTCCTTCTTCCCCTTCAAAAATTCCTCTACATAACTTATTTTCATGCATAATTCATAAAATATTCCTCATATAATTTTCACTTTTTTACTTAAAAATTCCGACTATAAAAACTTTTAATGTCATTTATTTCAAAACTTCCTACCAGAGGTAACTACAGCGCATCCCGATCTCGACTTACAGTCGGTTTGTCTGTCTGTATGCTGCTTATTTCTCCATCATATACCCTTCACTCCTGTCGAGATGAGGGAGGTTTACATACGTGTAACGTAGTTAAGTGATACATTCCTCTTGGAAAAAAAATAATACCATTCTTCTCTCGATACAGTTAAAATATTTACTTTTCTGGCTATTCTCTTCCTTTCTACGTTACGTTAAAATTTTTATTGTCGATTCAAATTCTCTTGTATATTTAATGTATTTCTCTTGCTTCCATTTTAACACTTCTTATTCCAGATAATGGAAGAGATTCTAAGTTATAGTTCCTTTCAGTTCATTTTCTTTTCATAAATTGAGAGTTTTGGATGTGTAAAAGGGTCCATCTTTGATGAAAGAATTAAAAAATATATATAGTTCCTCCTCCTGTTCTTGATTGCGTGTATCTTTTATCCTGAGATGAGGTTGAAAGAAAGAATTTAACGTGTAACTAACAGAGGAAAAAAATGATGCGGATAAGATGTCTGATTGACTGTCAAATAAGAAATGTCACATGCTGAGAAACAGGACATCAATGGCAAAGAAACTTCAACTTATCGCAGAAAAATTCTTTATTTTTTACATTTTTTCATCGATTTTCTTTATAATCTTCGAATATTTTATATAATAATTATCACTAAATAAAAATATATATGTATGTATATTTTTAATAGCATCTTCTCCACTTTGTAGCTTTTTATTTCGTGATTTAATTACAAAATTAATGATTTTAGTGCTGTTTGCATAGAAAAATAAGAAAAAAATTGTAGTTAATGTGTCTCATTAATTATAATTTGTCTTGTTTTTTCGATTTTTTTTCTTTTTATAAAGATTTTATTCGTTTTCTAACTCAAAAGCGCGGTGCTAATTGTTAGGAAGTTATAGTTTAACGCAATTTGTAGACGTAAAGGAGGGATATTTCCGAATTTTTTTAGGGATATTTATAAATATTAAAGAGAGAAATAAATATCGAACGATATCAAAAACAATTGCAAGATGATGGTCGGGAAGGAATGCAAAGAATTTGATTGAAACTGTATGTTTACAGGGAATATATTGATTACATTTGTCTTCCCCAAACAGTATCAAAAGCATACGATCCTAAGAGATTTCCCACTTTTATTCCCTTTGTAAAAAACGTATTTACTTTTATTTTCCAATCTTTTACTTGTTTGCTTAATTCCACTTCTAACAGAAAAACATTTAATACGAAAGAAGTAAAGAATTATTGGAAATTAATAAGAAAAAAAAAAACATGGTAAAAGTCCCGACGGTGCACCAGAATCGTAGTAAAGAAACTGGAAACAAATTGAAAATCGTTAATACAGGATTAGGAATAACTATAAATCCTATTTGGGCTAGAGAGAAAGGAAGAGGGAAAGAATAACATTGACTCTGTGTTAGCAGAACAAATTGACCAATCGTTAAAACTTACAATGATTAGACTTCTTGGTTTCATGATTTTCGTCATATTTCCTCTTATCTTCCCTTTATGGTTTATTTTATTAACTCATCCTGAGCTTCTTCTAGTATCTATTCGCTTGCAAAAGTTGATATTCCTCAATTCACTTCCCGGATGCTTATTTTTTCTCATCCCTGATTCGCATCTTTGGATATAATCTATTCACTTTTATTTCTCTCGATTCTAATAAGTTTTCTGATATTTTTTGGTATATTTTTAGCGGTTTTTTTATATATTTTTCTGCAGTTACAGTAAATTTCTGTTCAGATATTTTTTTTTTTGGCTGAAAAATTCTCTCTTTTCTTTCGGATTCCGCCAATACTGCAAAAAATAGAATGTTTTTTTCTTCTTCCTCCAGTTTCTATGATTCGAGCAAAAATTCTTTTGCGTTCTTGCCTCTATTAGTTTCCATTCCGCTCGAATTTCTCTCTTCTATCATCTTTCTCTATGATAAAATATTAAATTTTTACAAGAGAAGATGCGTAATCATCATCCAAAGACTTCCATCTCGCTCTTCCAAAGAGAACAAGTCAGATGATACTTTTAGAAGAGAAAAAAATCGCCTTAATAAAAGGGAAAAGAAGTAAAATTATTTAATAAATATGTAAAAATATTTATAAAAGAGGAAATTTGATGCCCTGGAAGAATTTTCAGAAGATGTGAGGCGATGACTTCTCATTCTCAATTGAAGTAACAAAATCTGTTTACAGCATTAGAAACAGGTGGATTGATAAGTTTAAGAGGTTGATGCATCAAGGGAATTGTTAGACAAATAGTTAATGAAGGGAAATTTTAGTTCCGCCCGGAAGAGAAGAGAGAATGAAAGCAAAAACGTAGTTAGAAATTACAATTGAGAGAGAATGCATAGACAATAAAGGAGTGTGTGTATGTGCGTGTGTGTTGCCAAATTCTGTTATACGGCAGTTATTTGTGAGTGGCTTATTGAAGAAAAAGAGAAGAAATAAGAGAAAAGAAAACTTTGTGTGAGAGTTGGAGATTTATTATCAAATACATTTGAACAAGCCATTTGACAGTTTCTGCTACGGGTTTATTGCCTATAACTTTCATTCTTTTAGGAAGAGGAAGAGAAATCTTAACTATTCTTCTTGATGGAAACTTAGAAAGCATTATTCAGTTGAGGTATAAATCTAATTTACAGCCATTTCTGGAAAAATAAAATGTTTATCGCTGAATGCTATTAATTTATTAGGTTTCTAAAGATTAAAGGATGTGGGAAAAATCGTTTATAAACTATTATATATATATATATATCCTATAAATCCCATCCGGTTTGCGTAATATATTTCTAACAACTAATTGAAATGCTATTTTACAATTTATCTTAAGCTTCCCCTCGCGGCGTTAAAACTCAAAGGAGAAGTGGCATTTACAGGCGTTAGGCATCAATTTTAAGTTTCTCTCCCTCTACCAAATGAGTTTTACTCGAATATTTTCAACACAAACATAGTTGTTATCAATGTTTGTAGCAATCGAGAGTGTGTTTAAGTAATAAACGACAAAATTCTACTTACCAAAAGCCATCAGGCAGCAGTGGAGAAATACTACTGTGTTGAATGCTGAAATGAAAAGACAGAAATCAATATATAACTCTCCACTGTACAAGTTTTAATGTGGTTGTCGCCATGCTAACTTGCGGAACAATTGATTAAATTTATCCAAGAAAACTATACATCGAGAAAAATGAATATTTAAACCAACGAGCTCCTCATTATCATTTTAAATTCTCGCATTATAACTTTGCTTTCTCTAGACATTTATTTTGTTATAAACTTCATTTTCTCCTATTCTCTCGTTAAGTTAAATTAGAGAAACTGCTGCTAAAATATTTTATTGATTTAATTAACTCTTTTATTTTCTTTACTTACGTTTATAAAGTCTACTTTTATAACTCGTATCGTCTCCAGAAGGATTTTAGGAATTTAAACATTTATCAAGGGATTTTAAATATATCAGAACGTATTTCCTTAATTAATTTACTTAACTTATAAAGAAAATATCATTTAAAATCATTCGGAATTTTACAATTTTCATATTTAAACAGTTAAATAACAGCTCGAACAGCGGTTGAAATTTTAATGGATTCTAATAAATTTAATTACTTTAATGGTTTATATAAATTAAATTATGTAAATTTAATATATTTTTTTATATTTAATAAAGTTAAGAAAAGGATTTTCTATCTTAAAAAAAATAAAATAAACCGAACGGAACACTCTATTTTTCTACACCATTATCAAAAGCAATCATATCTTCTTTGCACTTTAAAGTGACAGAAGGATTGTTATAAGGACGACTCGTGTTGACATAAAGCAGCAAAAAAGAGACACAAGTAGTACAGAGACGTCGACACACTGATCTGTGTCACCTGAATGTATCAAGAAAAGGGACAGTTCTTCCTCTTTCAATCCTCTACAGACAACTGATATCAGCTCTCTCTGACACTCTCACTATAATTTGCGAAGGAATATATATATATACTTAAAAAATAAATTTATAATATTTTTAATCCATAAATATAACCAAATGAGGATTTACGTGAATATATATTTATTTATTTTTTAATATATATATGTTTTTTTCCTGGAGGAAACTTTTTAGAATTCAAAATAAAAGTATAGCTGGAGTAGCTTTTATCGATTTTTAGATTCGAAGACAGTATAAAAGACGTGAATATTTTGGTAATAAGGACGGCAATGTGCTTTTTTATTCAATATTTTATACGATAGTCAATGTATGATTCTGTTAAAAATGTTTTACAATCGTGTAAATTTGGAGAAAATAAGATTTTTTGTGGATTAGATGAGGCAAAAATCCTCTTTATACATTGTAAAGCTTTTTCCTATTTTATAAAGTCGTGGAAAAATGTGATTTTTTACAAATTGATTCTTTTTTTATTATTCAAATTTCCCAATAGAGAACGGACGAGGTTAAGTTCGGCCACGTCTCTTCGGGTGTTAAAGCAATAATAATAATTTAAAGGAAAAAAAACAATAATAATAATAATAATAATAAAAGATAATTAATGCGGAAAAAAGTGAGAAAACTGGAGACATTTCGAATATTTTCAAAGAGAAACTGTTGTTTTCTCTTGCAACATTTATTTTTCTCAGTCTAATGTCTAGTATAGACAAGACGTCATTCAACCGTGAAAAATATCCTGTCGCCAAAATTCTCCTCCTCCTCCTCCTCCTCCTCTTCCTCTTCTATTTTTTTATAGGGCAGACACATTGTAAAAATTTGGTAGTGCAGAGAAAGTGGAGAGTGTTTTGCTTTAAAGGAACAATTGCCATTTGGCGTCGTTTTGGTTGTTTTACGATTCCTTCGCGTTACATCTGCCTCATTTCAACCGGACCAAAATTGAATATTTTTCTTTCTTTCCGTCCCTTTATAGCACTGTCGATAGGAGGAATTCCACGTTGCCACATTCTATTATCCTAATTGGCTTACAGACGTGGATTTTAGACTGTTTCTCAATGACTTTTTACCTGTAGGGAACTATTTCTCTAATCTGTTTTTAGATAGGAAAAAAAAAAAAACAATTATTATCGTCTCCTCCTCCACCTGTAGTGGGAATAGTCTGAATAGCTTCAACCTGTAGATCCGTCTTCTATGAAGAAAATCCTTCCCATAACTTCTGAATTCTCCTATAATTCTGTCTATTCTTATAGAAAAATAAATTATCCCCCTATAGGGGAGGAAAATAGTTTCGAATTTAATATCCACATATAAAAAAATCTACTCTGAGCTGAAGGAAACGATGGATACGTAGATAATAGTTTCTTTAAAAAAACGTCCCTATCTGTAAAGAAAGAATAGAAGAAACAGTCTAGAAGCTCTCTATTATAACAGTAGAAGGCTTCTAACTGTATAAAAACTATCTTTTTTTCATTCTCCATTATAGAAAAAGTCATTTTATCGCCCCTGTTTATAAGTAAAACTGTGTAGTAGACTCCTACTTATAAGGAAAATAACGTAGATACATCAATGGATACCTACAATTTCTATTATAATAAGGAAAGGGAATCCCTAATTATAAGGAAAATGAGGTGGAATGTGATCTAGTGTTAAAGAAAACAAGATAACGAATACCTGTAGCTATACCTGAGGAAGAATTATCTTTATTTTTCCATTGTATTGGTTTTAATTACATTATCCGAATTGAAGTTAGAAATTTATTCCTCTTCTCGGGTAGATAAAGAGATTGGTACAAACTAGGCGTAATTGCTCGCTGAGATGTTAGGACACAGGGTTTAATTAAAACTGCCGTTAAAGAGAGTACACGGTGAATTAGGTTGGATAATACCAGTATCTATCACGCAGTGGCAGTCACGTGGTAGGACGAGAAGAAAACTTCTACCACTTTAATCTGAGAAATGAAGTTGAAATAATGAGAATTAAAGGAACTGTTGACGAGCGAGGAATTCGGATATTTAGGGATAAAACTGTTGTAAGAATTTCTGAGTAATGACTCGGATTCCAGACACTTAAGTTTGAATAAGTTTGCTGTAAAAGTCTTTAAGAAATAAACAATTCAAACTCACTCTTATTGATTTTTTTTTTATTTGTTAGACGAGGATCTTCTATATATAATTCTCTTTTTTTGTATATAAAAAGGCGAGTTTTATGCAAGCGCTAATGTACTTCAACTTTGGATTATCTAGTTATCGACTAATTAGTCATTAGAGATGTTTTTACTCCCTTCTCAATTTCGCTCGACTTTATTTTATATGAATCATTAATCCTTTGAGCTTAAAATTTTCTCTAGTCGTTGTCATCAAAATATCAAATGGATAATTGCTGAAGGATTTAAAAAATTAATTTTTGCCAAGAAAATCGATTTGGAGTATTCTAAATGAAGGAAATTTAATTAGCATCTCGGAGAAACTCGATTTTTAAAGCGCATTCCTAAATTATGTTATTAATGTAAGATTTTTTTTTTTGTATAAAATCTATCATTGTAAAATGGATTCTTACTTCACATCTACAAGATTTTGTGGGTGAAAATCCTTAATTTATCAGTAAAAATCCCGATTTATCCCCGTTATCCTTTAAGGAAGTGATTGTTGGAAAGACGTTTATGCTTTACAATTTTTGACGAAATCATCTTTACGAACGTTTTATTGGTTCTATTTTAGGGTAAGAAAATTCACTCCACGTAGAATAACTATGAATAACAAGCGTATAACAAAACACAAGCCAAAGTAGCCTACAGTATTGGCCATATTCTTGGTCTTATCGCCTTTTCGGTCGTTTGCGGAACAAAGGACACAATTTCTCTAACATGGAGATAAATGGATTTCAATCTATCATAGTCAAACAACTAACTAGAATCTTTAGTTTGAGAATAAAGGTCGCATTGCCAAGTCACCGTATCGTCCCGAATGTTTCCTATTGATCAACACGCATCGGGTCATTACTGACCACTTTTTCGGGGTCACATTCGCCCAAATGGTTAATTAATAAACCCTAGAAGGGATGCAGAAAATCCCCAAATCTTCAGGGAATCTTAATAGGAAAAGATGCTGAAGAGGATTGATGAATGTTATTGAATTTAAACTAGTGGATGGATGGAAGGCGACACATCATTTACTGTTGACAGGAGGGAGAGAAAAAAAAAACGAGGAAAAATATCAATCAGTCAGGGAAGTAAGTAGGCAGTGTATCAAGCAGTTTCGATTGGCAGACCACAAATAAGAAGGCGAGTAGATAAACACAAACAGTGACATCTGTAATAACACTGTCGCCAGCTATTACTTCACGTGTCAGACCGAGAAACCATTACACAGAACATCATTAATCGACTTATTAAGGCCATCATGAGATAAGCAACACTCATTATTATACTTAATATCTTTACACAAGGGAGAGAATGCGATGAATGACTCACGTCATTTCCACCAATACACTTCATTTTTATCAATGCCAAAAAAATAGAGAAGGGGGCGAAAAACTTAATTCAAAAATTCCCCCTCCGGAGAATATTTTTATAAATTGGTCGAAGATTTAACAAATATATAAGCATCTCGTTCGGAAATTTAGGGTAAAAAACCAAAAAAAAGTGTTGTATCCTTGAAAAATCCCCTTTTTTCCCGCCCCTACACGATTTTTTCCCTTCTTCTCCTAGGAGATAGTATCTAATGTCCTTAAGTCTATTTTTTAAGTTTGCTTCTGATCGTCAAATTGCCCGTAAAACAATATTAAATCCCTTCTATCTACTAAAGCATGTAGAACTACCATAATTGAAGTCAGGATTGTTCGATACACTTGGCTATGTATCTTGCATTCTCCCTACGGAATTGAAAACAGGATAAGTTGAATTGATATAGGGAAAAAATGAACGAAAGAAACGGGAGGGGAGGCAAATAAATTTGATTTCGAATATGATTCATTTTTTTTCTTCTTCTTCCTTCTTTTTTTTCAATTAATTTCCTTCCTATTTTTAACTGGTATAAGACAATTATTTGGATAATTAGTAGTGTAATTGCCTATAAATTGTCGTAAGAGTTTGGGTTTTTTGAATCAGAAATCGATGGAAACGAGGGAAATTTCCTTGTTTTTATTCGTTTATTAGGTTAAATATTATGTTAATTATAATTGTAATTGAATCTATTTATCGTAGGATTCTTAAACGGTAGTTAAAAAAATCTCTCCTCTAATCTTTTTATTGATTTCTTAAGTTAATTATTAGGTTAATTAGATGCAATTATGCATCTAATTAACCTGATAGTCAGTGTTTTTGAGTTAAGAAAACGAGGAGAAAATATAAAGGAAGCGATTCTCTAAATATTCCTCCATCTCCCAGGCCAACTATTGTGATAATTGCTCCCGTTTATCCTAAATTTCAACAAATATCTGTTAAGGGAGTTAAGAAACGAGAGAAACTTCCACATCTTCGTCTAACTATCAGGGCGATTAGAGTTATAATTGCATTTATAAACCGAGAAAATTAAATAAATTTAATTGTAAACGGCATCCAATCTCCAGCATCTTTACGATTATCGCGGGAATTTAAAAGTTTTCATGCAAATTATGATCAAAATCTCCGAGAAAAAATAATTAAACGGCAAGATTTAATCGAATCTATATTCTAAATAATGTAAATTTAACGATTAGCATTTAAAAAGGAATTCAAAAAGAAGCTTTTAATCCGAATCTATTAATTTGTTTAGACTATTTAAACAAGTTAAAACAATGAGTGAGTTTAGAAAAAAAAAGAAAGAAGAGGAGGAGGAAGGAGGAGGATGGAGAGCGAAATGGAGACGTCGGTTTAGAAGAGAATAAATCTGTTGGTGAGGTGGTTGAGGAAATAGAAGAAGCAAACCATTAAGGTTAATTCATTGTTTTATTTGCTCATTGATTTTCTCGGATGGATAAACGAGTTGTATCGATTGATTAATTGATTACTTTGTTAGAGTTCGATTGCGAGTTGTGATTTCCTATCGTTAAGAGACTTTCCTCCTGTAGAAAAGTGCACAGTAAGTTATTATTTAATTTTATTTGGATTAGAAGAAAGAATTCGACATATGCACGGGGGTGGGGAATAAATTCCAATTCGGAATAACAGGAAAAAAAGCCACCAAATAAACCAACCATTATGTTTAATCGAGCGACAAAGCTTAAGTTTTCTTTCGAGTCCGAAAAAGTTTTCATCATTTCTGTTCTGTTAAAGGAAACGGCAAAGTTCTCGTGGCATTTTTTCCCCTTTTATATCTTAAAGAATGACGTCACTAATCGATACCCCTCCTTTATTGCCTGTCATTATTTATCGTTGTTATCCTCTTAGGTTATTACCATACCTCGCAAGGGAAAAGAACATCATCTTCTAGTGTTTTCGGATGGCAATACAATTAAAAACAATAAAAAAAAATTGTTCAAAATTAAATATTTTATCCTCCGAGCATCCCACTAGTCTTTAAGTCTCCATACTTTACTGAACAGAGGGATGAAAGCCGGATAGATATTTTTCCAGATTTAAACGGAATTATTATATGTAAAAAAATGGATAAAATTATTTATTTAAATTGTTATAAAGATTATTATACAGGACAAATAGAATTAAATCGATAAATTAAACAATTTCTTTTATAATTTTCCAGATAGACAGAGCATCTTATCTGAGGTTGGAGTATCTAACAGATGTTAAATTAAACAAACCGCCCACCAAACTAAGCCATCAAAGAATAAAATGTAGAACTGTACTTACAAGCATTGTGTGGGACGTTTATGTACTTTTTCTAGCTTTACTGCCTTTGAGAAAAGGAAGAAAGAAGAGGAAGAAACATTCTAGACTTGTATCTGTCTCCAACTTCCCCTTACATAAACTAGCATTGTATAAACAGAAACGGATTCAGAAGTATATATTTGATGGGAAGTGCATCAATATGGATTGACTTTTTCCCCGCTTGGACCCGGAATTTACACTATTAGAAAAGAAACACGCCGTTTCTCGTGGTGTAGAGATGGTGGAGAAAAAAAAAAGAAGCCACCGCTTCATCCCCCAAACTCTCGGTATATAACGAAGAATTGAATGCGGCAGGATCGAACAAACATCAATCATTTGTCGAAATTTTATTTAAAAATCTTATAAAAAAAATATCACACACACTTAATTCTACGTCAAAAATTACATCATCCGGACGAGATTCAAATATTTCCCTACGTGGAAATACGCAAGAAAGTGGCGAAGATATTGTTGGAGAAATTAAATTGTCGTCACTAACAATGAAATAAATTGAAAATTTGCGAATTTTTCTTATAACTTCCGGAGAAAATATCATGTTAAAAAAGTTAGAATTAGCGCAACTCAAGGAGGAGTACGAATTATCATACATCTCCAAAATCAATAACGGTTACAGATCAGAAGTATACAGCATGTGGGATTATAGGAGACAGCATGCGATTGCTGTGAAGATACCAAATTCACCAGGAGACGAGGTTCCTGCTGATTATTGGTCACACATTCATCATTCGAACGTTATACCCTTATACGAAATAGCTGAATTGAAGGATGGAAAGACTGCTTACGTCATGCCACTCTATGATACCACATTGGAAAAGGAAGTCATGTCGCGTAATTTCCCACGTAATTCTCTAAGTTTTGCATTGGCCAAGAAGTGGATTTACGAAAGTTTATGCGGATTGGCAGAAATACATTCTCAGGGTTTGTGCCACTTAAATTTAAGACCGGAAAATATCGTTTTAACTCTCGGAAAATCGGCCAGATTGGGTGGTTTATCCATGATGAGGAAGGACGATGAGGATGCTACAACTAAGCTCATGATAAGCCCATTGTATGCCCCTCCAGAATTTTGGGATAAAAGTGAAACGACGGGAGTACAATTAGATCTTTGGGCTTTTGGGATCGTTATTTTAGAAACGTTAATTGGGAGAACATTTCGTAGAAAGTTGTTTTCTAAGTCGGACATCATTAACCGTGGCATCAATGGATACAGAATATGGAACGATCACGTTCGGCCATTTCTGAAAAAAATAAGACATAAAAATTATTTTAAAACTCTTTTAAAGAAAGCTCATCCCGTTGCTTCTCTTATAAACAGTGAAGTAGAATCTGCGTGGAAATTTGTACATTATTTTCTAAGGGATGATCCAAGTCGGAGACTGAAGGCTACTACAGTTTTAACAGATGAATTCCTGTGGCCTTTTAATAATCAGGAATTACACGGCGATGGACAACTTCGCCTTTCGATTTCTTTAGAAAGTAAGCCTAATTATCACTTAGAAAACGTTAAATTTTATAGGATTTTTTAAGGTTTAATTAATTAATAAGCCGTTGAACATACAGGTCTCGCCTCTCGTCGTCTAATCTCTGATGAAATTCGTTACACCAGGAGCGACAGTAAAGTTAAATTCAGCAAAAGAAGACAATTTAATTAATTTGTAACGTCGATTTTAATAAATTTTCTTTAATTTCTGTTCGAATACACGCGTAAATTTTTAATTTTTAGATGAATTTCGATCTTTAACAAGCAAAAAAGAATCGATGTATGCATTCATAAAGGCATAAATTATCCAAATGCGTGAGTTAGATCATTCGATTCTTTGTATGTAAGACCATAAAAATCTTTAACTTGTTTCATTTGGGGGATTATTTGGATTGTTTCTGTTCACGGGTATCGAACTAATGACGACACACAACCGCAGTTATGAAAGGAATTGGACCATGTGGTGATAGAGTTATTGTCATTGTTCAAACATGTATGAAGAGAACTAACAGCTGATATATTTATGTGATTATGAGAAATAAAATAAATCAAAGAAAGGATGCTGCCCATTCAAATAATCATCTTTTATCCTCTGCTCCCGGGATGCGGAAGAAAGTAAACTTTCTAGCTCCTTTTCCAAATGATTTTTATGATATAAAGATGAAGGCGAGGAATAATATTATTATTATAGAAACAGTAAAGAATGCATCTATAAATAGTATAAAATAAATAAATTACAAGAAATAGATCATCCCCTCGAGCTTTGTGGAGAAAAATTCGAATAAAGATTTGATTAGAAGAGTTAAAAATAACTTTATAAATAGTTATTCTTCTGTGTAAAATACCTTTAAAATATAATAAATGGCAGCTAAAGGCTATATTTTTGTATAACTGAAGCTAATTTCTCCTTTAAAAAAGGAAAATTAAAGCCACACAAAGGAGAGTTTTAGAGACGAAATATCAACTGAAATTTCTAAAATAGCATCAAAATTTATTGTTTATCCATTCGAAACGTTGGAAAAATATTTTATAAATATTTTATTTTCATAAAAGATATATCTAAAAGCATTGTAAACATTATATTCAACTGTATACTGTAAAATGTCTTCGACCTTTATCCAATGCACGAACATACGAAGATTTAAAGTCAACTTTGCGACAGAATTCATTTTTAGTTTGTTCAGTCGACAGCAAAACTCTTGGATTTGGTGGAAACGTTTGCTTTCCACCTGGAAACAGAAACAAATTCTTACTCAACCTCCAACAATCCTTCGCATCTTCCGCATCTTCCGAACTCTTTACGTGTAAATCTGATGGTCAAGGACGCTTTTTTCCATCATTTTGGCTCTGTAGAAAGATATCTAATGCTTTCTAGAATAAAATATATAAAAAATAAACATCCTATTCCATAAAAATTTAAAGAAATATGCAAATTTATTAGATTTGAATATGGAGAAAAACAGTTTACAAAAATGCAATTTATATATTTGGGATTTTCTCGATGGATATTTCGAATCGATAACGAAAATGAGACGAGAAAAATTCGATATTTGAAACTAATTTTTATTTATTTATTTATTTATTTTTCCTGAACGAAACGGCAAGAATGATAAGAATAATATCGAAATTTTCCAACGCGACGTTCGCAACGTTCGCGTGATTATTCAATATGGCGTCGTTACTGATGTAGATTAAGTCTTTATTAAATCAAAAATTCGTGATTTATTTTTCGCACTTAATTAAATATTATTTTAAATTAAAATTTAGGTCATTTATTATTTTTTTTTGCATTTTGCCATTTAAAATAATAAATATTTGCTTATTTTATAGGAGGATAGATTTGGAAGATAAGGATCAGATTTGGAAAAAATACATGTATTATATATTAACAAAAGTCGAAGATTGGCAAATTATCACAACTGGAAAATATCCAAAAACTATTAAATACAAAAGGGCAAGAGGAATATACAAATTTTCTTGTCACTAAACTCCGCCCAATATCACCATAATCCCTTATTTTACAAGCGAAAACCCAAAAATTCTCAATAATTGGAGAGGATCCAAACAGAAAACAAATTGAATATATATCGAATTTTACATGAGCAATTTAGTAAAAATTTAAGCAGTAAACTGGTTAACAGACACATGGAAACTAATTTAAACTTAGAGTGACTAATATTTGCGCTCGTTAGTTCAAAAGATTTGAAAAATGGCAGAATTACAGAAAGGTTTTCCATCCTGCTATTAGTCTGAGTATTGCCTTCATGTATGCCGCATATTTAGGTGTGAGAAGTACAGTAGGACTCCAGTGAGACTTGTAATTTCATCAATGTTTGTCATAAAAGCTGCTATAAACCTACTCTCCCGCGGAAAAAACTTCGAAAAATCTTTTAGTATTTTTAGCTGTAGGCATATTCTATATATTTATTAGTTATTTTTATTATATACCTTCA